TTGAATAATTTATATTATTTGTATAATAAGAATATTTATATCTATTTTTCATAACGCTTCTAATATTCGAAATATCAAATAATATTATTAATATTTTTATCTTCGTTATTATTATTAATATTATTTCTATTTAAATTGACTCCGATACGACGATATATGTATAACGTATACAATATCCACGACGTACGCATAATATACCAAATATACATACAGACACCACGCATAACACAGACACAGACACACACACACACACACACAACAGACACACAACAGACACACGCACAACATACGCATCACACAACACACACAGCACAGACAACACACACAACACCAAACCCACAACACACACACAACACTAGAAGACTCTAGAGAGATCCCCAACTCGTCTATCACCATCCAGATTTACTCATGTGGGATTACGAGGTCCTTTAATCATATTCATTTGTTTGTTTCATTATTTATCTCTTTAAAATTTTAAAGAAGTATTTTGTATAAATGTAGCTTTAACATGTATTTTACCAATATGTTTTTCTCAGTTCAACTTTTCTATAATTTATCGAACTCATAATTATATCTGTTGAACTAGAGCAGATACAGTATAATAATAATTGTAGAAATATATCGAAAATTTACATATAATCTACCTATAAATATAGAGCATGAAGATATACAGTATACTAAGTTCATGTCATATACGTGTTTTCTGTAACCTACATTTTTATGTCTATGAATTTCATTAATTCTTGGAAATAATCGTTATCGACATAAATAGAGTCTTTTGCATCTACTGGGGGCCAAATCATTCCGAAATCATCCTCAGCAATATCAAAGTCAAGAACAAAGAGTAAGAGCAAGAGCACGCGCAGAGCGAGAACAAGAGATCCAGCAGGAGCAAAAGCTTGCGCAGCCCTCAAAAGCGACAATAGAGATAACTCAACCCCCTGATGACACACACACACACACACACACATTCCCAATTTCTATTGCCCCCCCCGGTTTAAGAAAACTCAGTTTGAACCAAGCGATCCAAGCGTCGATCTCTTTCGGCTTGCCATGATGGACAACTTGTCGGTCTGCCCCGAGCAACCACAAAGCTCTGAGCAATGTGATTGTTGGAAGCTGAGTGAAGGCAGTGTGGAATCACACGGCATTCCACCCAAAAAATCGGCAGCACAGCTTCGAACATGTGCACCACCAGTATGTTGTGAAAATCATGGCAGGTGTCACGCTCAAGCATTGCAGCCTGATTGTTGACGTCACTGCCCAGTGACAATTCTATGTTGCAATGTTGTGCTGCAGATAGCCCTGAGCACATTGAGAATAGTTCTGGCTCGAAATCCCAAACGGGTCAATGACTGACTTCTGCCGCTTCTTGACCGAAGGTCACGCGACTAAAGCTTTCGGATCACATGAGGCAGCTGGCCGCCTCCCATGCAACTCTCGGATACCAGCAAGTTCAGATTGCTGCCGAAGCCGGGATTCGTCTTGAACGAAATGGCTGAGCTGCATGCAAATTTTAATCGGCACAGTGGTGCTCTGATCCTGCGAGTCCTCTTCGTGGGGTGATTCGAAGGCCGACATCTGCACACACTTGGCCTTGAGATATCTTCGGCGGTCACCTGGCATTCTGAAGCAGATGCTCCTCAGTTCTTGAGCAGCACCCTCACCGGATGTGAATTTGTCGATCTTCCTCTTGATGGACTCCCAGTCTGTGCGCCGACAAACTTTTCGTAAACTGGGTATCGTACTCGACTCACCTTCCTCATCGCCTACCGGACGCTCAAAGCTGAAATGGGCTTGCTCGATGTCCAGAAAAGGGCTGGAACCGTTCACCAGCAACATCAGCCCGGCTAGCTCTGGCAGTGGCTCCCAGACAGAGCTTGCGGTGGCCACACTTCCAGACGAAGACGCAGTTTTAGACCTTTGCCTCTCCGATCGTTCTAGTATCCTAGCCATGTCTGGGACGTCCTCCGTAAGAGGTGGATTTCGGGAGTCGGAGTCCACACTTATTGCCAACAGGTGGTATGGATTCTCAGCACCGAAGAGATGTGGCACGGGGACGTGAAAGATGTCGGCCGGCACGCGCGTGTTAGAAGCACCGCACAAAGAAATACGAACGCAAGTGGGCGGCGTCGCACGAACACCAGCTGCAGGCTCCAGTGCAGCTTTGGTGGACACATCGATGAAGTCGGCAAAGCGCTGACGCTCATCCGGTGGTAACCTCTGCCATGTGCTTCAAAACCGATTCGATTCAGCATGTGGCATACGGTATGCGAATGTATGCGCTAGATTCGCTACAGACTTGCATGAGACGCCAATAAGTGCCGTTCCAAACACTACACAAGGAATCCGATCTTGCAGATGTAACAAAGCCCTGAACCCGAGCGGTGGAAGCTGCTAGAGATGAAAGCATTGAAATTCGTGCTGTGTGCCAGCCCTGCAGCCCTGAATCCTCAAGTAGCTTCATGGCCGGGTGGCAGCATCTCGAAAGCTTTACCATGAAGACTCGCTCCTGGCAGCGCTGTGCTTCGGAGAGCTACGACGGCCCTGAATGCAGGTGCCTCCCTCTCAATAGGGATCTGAATTAAGTATTGTTGATGGCTAAGCTGGTCTTCCTCGTCCTGTCGGACGGACTTACTTTGTATTTTCCATGTTCGAGTGCGGAAGCCAGTGAAGCTGCCCAAATCATGCAGTGCAGAACGCCCTGCAGCATCTTTGGCTACGTGCACTTGTCATCCCAGCAGGCCTTGTGGAAACAAGTACTGCCCAATGCCCAACAAAATGCTCTGATATGGTTGGACAAGATTCTGTTCATCAGCAGGTGCTGCAGGCACTCGCCTGGGCCGTGAATCCTTGTTGCGGCCAGCGGTCAAAGTTTCACAATGCTAGCCCAATCACGCAAGAGTGAGTAGTTGCGAATGAACTGATCAAGCACTTCCGCAATGCTTGGGGGTGCATGATCAGGGCAGACCTGATCCGGAATGGTAACATGTCCCTACAGTGCCTACAGCTTTTCCACCCACAACTTGACATGGCCATGTTTCAACCATTGGCGTGTCACCAATGCTTACCCCAAAACCAGGACAAAAGCTTGGGTCGCTTCTTGAAGACAGGCGTCGTCAGATTGCTGGTCAGCAGAATGTCTCCATCGCAGATCCCGCGAAGGACATGCTGGAAACTGGAAACAAGAGTTTCGGCATCTGCAACGTCCAGCAGCGCGTGTATGCGGGAACGGATGAGAAACTCCAGAGTTGCAGATAGGGTCATGGCCCCTACCTTAGCAGCCCAGCTGTTCGGAAAAAGGTTCATGACACACAGCGCACACACACAAGAACAACGTGTGGTCAAGAGGTCCAAGCAGGCAGCATGCCATGCTACATCATGCCACCAGATCTATCAGAAGCCAAGTTGGTCAGAGTCACGAAGTGCTGCATCTCCATGGCCAACAGCATGAAGGCGTCGTGACCAGTGTTGTGAAGAACAAGGTCCGAAACCAGCGAGGCCAAAGAAATCCTCAAAATGCAACCAGACTCAAATACACTACTAATAGTAATACAAATAAAAGTAACTAAGAATAATACAAATAATGCTAATATTACTACTAATCATGACCACCATCATCCAAGCACCGGAGACACGGTCATCGGTAAGAACCAGACGGAACAACAGCAACAAAGCCACCACAACAGCAACAACAACAACGCCGACACCAACGCCGACGCCGACCCCGACACCACCAATCACAACGACAACGACAATCACAACCACGACCACAACGACAACGACAACAACGGCAGCAACAACCGCAACAACACCGACAGCAACAGCGACACCTCAACCTTGAGAACTTTAGAGCCAAGCTGCAGAGCTTGGAAGACGAGGGACAACCTCGGCGACATAAGACATATTACATAATGGTATAATGTTATAATATAGCAATAATAACAGTAATGATAGAGCAAAATATTACAATAATGTAGTTCATAGCTAGCTTTCTATGGCATTGGATGATCGCGATGGTGATGCTGACAATGGTAATTAAGGCGGCAGTGGTGTTGCCGATGGCTTATCCTGATGGTGCTGCTACTGCTGATGATAGTGCTGATGCGAATCCCAACGGGCCCATGGTGCTCACAAAGCTCTGACAATCGGAAGGAGATGGTGAAGAAAAAGAAAAAGTTGATGATGAGTAGGTGTAATAGATAGTATTTCCGATTTCTCCATTCATTTTTTGTGTCGTGGAAGTCAGCAGGGACCGCGATTCTGGCGAGGATGATTCTCGAGCTGCCTGAAACTCAAACCCCAGTCGCAACTGAATGCGAGTTGACCTGGCAGCAGCACTTGCATGAGGTGTACTGCTTCAACTTTCGCACTGGAAGCCGACAACGTGTCGGAGACTCAGCGCAAAAGATTAGAGTTCAGCAGAGTCGCTTCAGTCAGCTAAAGGAGAAAACGGACTTCGTGCAGCCATTGCTGCTTTCAGGTAAGACAAGCCGCTTGGTGTCCATGAAACAAGCTGCCATCGTCAATCTGCTGCCGATCTTAAAGCCTCTCCAGCAAAACTCCGAGGTTCTCTGCGCACTATGGGGCATTGTATGAAGGCCCGGCCTAGAAAGAAAATCGCATCTCTTCCTGTAGGGTGACAAGGAGCAAGCAGCGCGAATGCCACCATCCTTGTTTCAGTACAGTGCTTCAATCTTGATCTATCTGCCAGGAAGATTGAAAAGCTGGTCCGAGAGACAGCAAAACTCTTCCTCAATGCTGCTGCTAGTACCCAACGTGATTGTGGGCAAGCAGCATCGTGTACCAACCAGCGCTCACCCCTCTGATCTGATGGGGCGTCGGGCAGAGGGTGCTGCTGGCAACTGCCCAGTGCAGGGTGTAGACCTCGCTGGCATGTCAGCGACAGAGGAAATCTGAAGAACATCACTGCGAAAGGCCGCGCAGATGTAGCTATTTCAGACACGGCGCGAACAGCAGGAATACCGTTTGGACCAAGCCCATCGAGCTAGGGTATTTCAGCAGGTCGGACAAGAGGAAGAGCAGGACTGGCACCGTTGTATGAACAAACAATCTGGATAGCATCACGTAGGTCTTCAGACGCGCCTCGGATACAGCGGTAAGGTGCTAAGGAACTCCGGCATATGCGGTACGAGCTGTAACAGCTTCCAGTGGCACGAGAAGGTGCAGCCGATCGGCCTCTCGCATTGACTCACTCACACGCGCATTTCGCGAGTTGACCTGACGAGTGCTCTGTGCAGCTCCGGGGCTTGCAAAACAGTTTCATTCTTGTACAACAGACAGGCCAACCATTTCTTTTTCAGTGGTTTCGACACAGCTGCAGAGCTCGGCTCTGTTTCGAAGCTTCAGTCTTGGGTCGGCAAGATAGCCTGCTTGGGTTGCAGATGGCAGGCCCCGCGCTATTCTCACACAAGCGCGAGATTGGACTCACGTAGCCACTTCACCGAAAGAGCTCTCTGCATTCTGGTTTGTTGTTGTTTTTGCCATGAGGCGGACCTGCCGCCGACTCCCTTGACTGGTGTTTTGTTGTTTTGCCTCCTTCTCTTTTTCACTCTGGAGTGCGCATCTTCTCGCGATGTTACCGCCTTTTCCCCTTGCTTCAGGAGTGCTTATGTTTATTTTGCTTGCGTTTTGGGGGTCTTGTTTCGTGTCCAAGAATAGAGTTTTGGGGATCTTTGTCTTATTTTTATGCTGGAGCTGCCGCCTTCGGTCTCTTTTGCCGCTGTTTTGGCTGCTTCTGATGCCTTCATCTTTACGTTTCAGTCTTGCTAAACTTTCTCTATTTTTCTCTTTAGGGTACTATTTGTGAGGGGGCTCAATCTTCGCAGAGCCGATCCGATGTGCGCCAGCCACCTGGCATCGTTATCATCCTCGTGGCGCTTTTGCGTAGTTTGGCCAAGTACTATCAGTATGATTATGGTTTTCAATCTATCTAGACTGTTACTACTATTCTGATTTTTACAATTCCTACTAGTATTGCTACTATTTTCAATATAACTGCCATTAACAAGCTCTATATTTTTATCAGCATGATGCTGCACACCTCGTTGGCCTTGTCGGTCGGAGTCGGAGCGAAGGCTTGCTGGAGCCTTGGATGCATGGTCTGGGCAGGACTGGCAAGCATGCTCCTCTCCCCGCAGAAATACTTGAAGTTATACTCCAGTTCTACACCACTCTCTCAGATGAAGGTTTTGAGCTAAGACACAGATGCACACGCAAAAATACACACACACAAGACAAAGAGAGAGAGAGAGAGAGAGAAAGAGAACCACCATGCGAAAAAGAGAAACAAGTGGACAAGAAACCACGCACGTACATGCACAACACAGCTAGAACCAAGCAAGCAAGTAGGTTAGCCAGCGTTATTGGCTCGTGTACTGCATGTGCATCTGTGTAGATGTGCGTTTATGCTGGTGGGGATGAGGGCGTAGCCGCACAATCGGACAAACTCATATTATGTTCTAAAACCAGCATAGATCAAGCCACTTGGACAATCGAGGGCTAAACGTTACCAGTCACTGAACACTGCATCGCAAGACGCCTGCTGCTGAGGCCCGGAAAGCGTACACCACAATCCGGAACTCCGTAATTCCATTCTAATCTTCCAGAGTGAGGTACAGTACAAGTACTAGCATCATTCATGGCAACTCTGCAGAATTCCTTCACCGAACCCCACGCATTCACGATTTCTTCAAGTGCATGCTTGCCCACTCCTATCCACAATTCCTGTAGCCTCCGGCTCCATTATCCCTAACCGGCCCTCACCCCTTCAAAAATTCAAAACAACTAAACTTTAGCTCCTTATTCAATAGGGATGTTCATCATCCCTGGCTCCTTAGCTCCTCCAATATCAACGGTTAGCTAAACAACTTCTAACCCGAGGCCTGCCTTAGAGCGAGTACTTATGGTGAGCATGGCCAAATCGCAGGGGATGGAAGACAGACTGGTACATACTGCTACATGCACCCAAGCATCATAACGAAGAGCGGTTTGATGCTGTCGTCTAGAGATAAACGCGATTGCAACATTTGCAACAATGCAGCGGGCCAAATCACTATCCAACTTGCTCGATCCTATCAAAACCTTATGTGCTATCTTGTTCAAAGGGCAGACGCGTTGCCTGCTGCAGTCTATGAATATGTTTGGCTCAGAACTCAAGTGGACTATCTTAGTTTTGAAAGCACAAGTTGCTTGCCTCAGTTGTCATATCGGCTTGGTAGTCCGTCTGGCTACTCTAGGGACCTTCCTGATCCAGCTGCGTGGCCATTGCACGATGAACTTCATGTCCGAATTGCTCGTGGGATTCATTCGCCAGTGCGCGATCATCACAAGCAGCCAGGTCACCAGTAACCTGAGGTTGGGAGGCCCTCAAGTCTTGTTTCAACCTTCGCAAATTGCGGCCGCATCACCTGCTGTCTACGCAGAGGGCTTCCGGCAGCATGGCGGTCAAGGCTGCTGCTACTGGAGGGTCGGTTTTCGACACTCTTTAACTACAACTACAGACCCCAAGCCGCCTTGCTGAGCCAAGAAAACAATGAGCTCGTGAACGCAGTCAGCCGCATCGATGTTTAGATCGCTGCTTGTCGTAAGAGACGATGCTGTACATATCACACAATGCAAATGTGCGCCGATATGCACTAAGCCTGTCTGAGCACACTGTCAGAGCCTCACGGGAAAACTGTCGTAGACTTTTGTCCATGTATATACTATTGTTGCAGTTTTGGACAGGCACACCCCAAACCACCTAAGCCTTCATACTCAAAGCCCACCACTTCAGTAAATTCACAACAGGCCGCTCAAACGACTTACCAACTTCCGGCCCAGCTATCATCATGATCCGTTGGATCCCGAGACCGAGAACTTCAGCAGTAGATCTTGTGCTTGCAAAATTTAAGTCTCTGAAATGCCTCAACCAGCGCTTGATGCACGCGGGACCCAGTGTCGGCATACGCGGTGTCCAAATGTGCACTTGCAGCCTTCTGATTTTTCGCACCGCGCTTCAGGAGTTTTCGGCCTCCACTTCCTGATCGACTTCTTGTCCCCAGCGACGCCTGAGCGAGCGCAAGCAAACAAAGCTTTTGATCTAATCATCCTGATGTACACGCCATTGAAGCATAGCCCTTGGTCAGGCCTGTTCAAGGCTGGGCTGACAATCAGTTCGGAACGCAGGTCGTACATGGCATTCCTGCAGGTGAACAAGCCGCGAAGCAGCTCTACATGAAACAACAGCAAGGAGACAAGAACACCAATGATATAAACGGTCATTAGTTGTACTTGACCAAGTAGCGGTCGCGGTACCGGCTACCCGGGCGTTTAGAATATCATTCGGGATGGCGGCAAACACAAATCGCGCGTGAAATGGTAGTCATAGCCATCGTCGTCATAAAGACCAGATGTGCTAAGTTTATACAAGTGGTACAGTGCCGGTACGTAAATCTGGCAATCTGCACAATGCAACCGAACAGGAGCAACAGACACAGGCTGAAGACTTTTCGAAAATCCTGGCGTGCCTCAGTTTTCTGTGTGAGACGGTGCTATGTGAAACGGCCCGTGTGACCGAGCCAGAGCGAATTCGATGATCTCCAAGTCTGAAGTCTTAATAACGCGCCGTTAGTGAATCCTAATGTGGCTTTGGGGCTTTGGGGTAGATATTCGTTCGATTCAAGAGTCTTCCATGGGCTGCCTTATGCGAACTCGTGCTGCTTTATGCTGCTTCTACGACTGCACGCTGCCACGTGAATCCTCAACTGACTGCCTCCTCCGTTTGCGTCTCCGACTCAACCTGTGCTGCACTCGGACTAGTTACATGCCGGCAAATGCCAGATAAAGGTTCAGGCATTACATGGTTGCGGTTCCGGTCATGTCGGATTTCACTGTCTTGCCTTTGAGTGCGTTCTTGCGATTAAGGTCGTGGCTGTCATCTGCTGCTATCCTTTCCATGACTCCGCCGTAGCAGAGGCAATAAGTGCTGGTTTGTTTGATGTGTATGACCATTGAACCACTCTCGCCAGCACAGTCTCTATGCAGTCCAGGCTTGCTTCCTCCAGTGCACGTAAGTAAGTCGCACAAGTATATATTTGATGATGCCGAGGGTGCAGAATACGAGCCCGGTGATCGTATATAGAGCATGGTACTGTGGCCCTGATGATGACCATGATCAATATGACCATGACGGGGGTGGTGGTGACGATGATGCTGGACGTGATGACGGGATGACGAAGACTGTGATGATGGTGGGGGGTGATAATGATGGCCATTGTTGTGACGGCTGATCGTCGGAGGCGTTATGATGGTGATGATGACACTCATGATGATGACGAGGATGATGATGCCGGTGATGAAGACGATGATGATGGCAAGGATGATGACAATGATGACGATGGCGATGATCATGATGGTAATGGTGATGGCGATAATGACGGTGATGATGACGGTATTGACTAGTGGCGATGGTGGCAGTGGTGGCAGTGGCAACAACCGCGTTGCCAACGACGAGCATGCGGAGGATGATGCTGGCGATCGTCATTGTCGGTGTCATCGTCACCATCCTGATTGAGCCACCGTCATCATGACAACCACCACTGCTGTCGGTACCCCGGACCTGACAGTCGAAGTGCTGATGGTGAACAATATATCATCAGTGTCCTCATGTTGAACCACTGGTGATCACTAGTGCTGATGGCATCGGGCCTTCCTGCCGAAAACTCACGGACTCTGTAGCCTAAACCCACACACGATACATCCCAAGAGTGCCCATCTCTAGCGAAGCTCGGCCAAGTCTCGCAAGAGCTCTGTCGCCGGGAGGTCATCGAACTCCACAGGGGGAGGTTGCCACGTGGGGCCCATGACCTGCACAGCTTTTGGGGCTTCACTATACGGGTTACACATTCATGTTACCATTTCCGCTGACTGTAAGGATGCCATTAGAAGGGTTGCGATATAGGTACGGTAAAGATTTAGGATTTATGCTAAGGGCGTGGGGATCTGGTCGAGGTAGGAAAGACCAACCCACATCCAGAAGGTCTCACACATCCCGCCAACCGTGCAGATATGGTGGCCGGAACATGTAGAACCACTATACCTTCTTGCTCCACTAAGAATTAGAGGGATTAAGAAGGGACGACAGTTTCGACACACGGCTGTTCAAACATTTGCATATGCTACGGAGAAGCGGAGAGGACGAAAGGCTTGTCTACGTGGCCAGCGTGACGGAGTAGGTAGTCACCGGAATAAGACTATACTACAGTAGTATAAAGTTTTCGCCCAGAGGTTTTGCGGGACCATGTGTCAAGAGTCTAAGGTGGAAAAGGGGCGCACAGCCTGACATGCTAAGTTACAATTCGTTTCACGCACTTTTGTTGCGGTGGTACCCGCAGTGCTTCTGGGCATCATGCAAGCCTTGCGCTGGGTCTCTGGCACCGATCCCCCAAACTCGGGAGCGAGAGAAGGGGAACGAGACAAACATGGAAGCGAAAGCAACAAGAAGTTGGGCTCCACATGCCGAGGCATTGGACGCGCGGAACTCCGCCTGTGATAACGATGCTTTCATGCTAAATTTGGACATCACAAGCTGAATCCAAGTCTTGCGATGAGCCCTGCCTCAAACTGTGCCAACGCCATTCCTGGTTCTACCAAAACTCCTGTAAGTACAACCTCCTGGAGACTCTAAACTCAAGACTCAAAAAAACTCGACGGCTTGCGGGTGAACCCTTTTCAGAATCTTCGTCCGCGCCTTCTTGCAGTAGCTTGGCTCCGTGATGAGCTGCACCGGCCCCGGCCTGATGGCAAGGGGGACTTAGGAGTGGAAGTTCGGAGCCTCTCGAAGTTCGGAGAGCCGAATCCCAAACAAGTCTCGGACTTGTGTGTCTCCGACTTCTCACGGTGACGACCAATCCGCCGGCCGTGCAGCGCCATCCTTTTTGGGGCTTAGGGCTCTGCAGTGCAGCTCGCAGCTTCTCTGGGGATTTCGGCAGCTGCGAAAGGGCTCGAGGCTTGGGCTTCAGATCAAGGCCCTGAGCCTGCGCTGATTCTATAAAGGGCATGCTCGAGCCTTCCTAATGAGGTCCAAAGACCATGTGCTTGTGCCAATTACAAGGTGTCATTGAGGCATCTCTCTCCATTACGTATCGTCACAATCGCTTGGGCCAGCGCGACTCTGCATCCAAGCGGTCGTACCTAGCTTGGCAAGGCAGTGAAAGTGCACAACCTACAAGTGCTAATATTGTTATGCTGAAACATGCCTCGCTGCCTAAGCATAACATCATGTTCAAATCTAAACTGGACAGGCCATGTACCTTTCGTTCACATGCCCGGGCACTCTTCGGCACCAACTATTCGAGCCGTGATCGGCACCCGGACGATGTGGGCCTGCGAGGCAGCGCTTCACATGTGGGAACTACTGTGGATACTGTTCATCCTGCATGATCTTATGCACCCACACCCAGGAATCTCAACCCCAGGTTGCGAAGCACAGTTCGACGGTAGTTGCAAACGCAACCCAGCGACTCTATTAGTAGCCTGTTGCGGACACCCTACAACAGTCGCATGTGTATGATAGTCTATGGGGCTCGTAATCTTGAACCGTCGAAATCTAGACTTCCTCTCAAGTCGCACCCTAAACCCTTTACGGCTCAAACCCGCGGATTGCGTTTCAGGAAGCCGGGCCTTGGTATGAACCTCCAAGAGCTGCTCAATCCGAGCAGGTTCCAAGGCCAAGACCTGTGCCAGGAAGAAAAAGCACCAATATGTGTCCCCATGTATGTGATCGCATATAGTCCGTATATATATATATATATATATATATATACTGTAGTTGAATCTAATTAATATACTCCAACACTAATTCCATGGCTGAGGACCTGGAGCTTGGGATTGAAGTTGGCTTAAGGTCTAGGGATGTTGCCGGGCCGGCTAGCATTTTCCTCTAGACTCTGGACAGCCTTCCAACGACTTAAGGTTCAGGACCGGCTCGTTGATGAGTGTCCGGACATGAGGCGTGGATTCTGATGCCTTCATTGCCAAGAAGGCTGCACCGCAAATCAGGCTGTCATCATGCTCTTCGTGCAAGTCGCATATGGTAGATGCTGAACCGACCCGACACATGCCTGTCTGCGGTGAGGCCCCCTACTGCTAAAGCCGCTAAATGCCTCTGGCGAGAAGTATGAAGGGCCCCTTTGCTCAAGCGAGGTAAGCTCAGGATCCAGGATCCGTTGCAAAGTGCTGCATGACGGTGGCGTACGTGAGGTTGTCCATGCCCTTGTGGCTGTTTGCTCGACCGCAACCCCTGCCGGATTTCGGCCGCCTTGCCTCGACCGTCAGCTTGGTTGCCATGCCTCCAGGGAGCACAGCCCTATCAGCCCGCTAGGTGTAGGTGTAACACATGCGGGCGACTGGTACGCTTCTCTGTGCCTGGCGCAAGGTGTCCCGGCTGCCACTTCACATTCACCAACTTGCCTTATCAACGTCTTAAGTCATCAGCATACTCAGCTAGAGACTCCCTCAATCTTAGGATGGGAAACTGGAATTGTGCAGCCAGGCAGCTCTCCGGCGGCTTCACGTTAAACCTGCACGAAGCTTACTGGAGCAGTCAGGTGGTGGTGGTGGTGGCGGAGGCCGCAGGTGGGGTGATGTAGCTCGAGCACACCAGCGAATTACAAGTCTGCCAGCAAGCCAAGGTACCGCAATCGATGCAAACATGCGTGCGCTTCCAGTAAGAAGAAGACGGCGCAGCAGAAAAGCTGGCCTGGTGACGTCGACCTCCAAGTTTCGGACGAACACAGACCTCAGGCTTCAACTCCCCACTGGAGGCAAAGCTTGTGAGGATTGGAAAAGCTCTCTTGCTACCTGCTACAGATAAGCCATCCAGGGTGACACTGAGCTAGTGGGATGCACGGTGACTGGTGCTCCTTCGCAGATACTGCATGCTTGCCAAGCTCAGACATGGCTGACCCAAGCCCACGACATCCTGTAGAGTGAGCCTTGACCTGGAAATTGCTGGGGTTTAGGGTTTAGGGTTGGATGCATGTTGGACATCACGCCATGTCAGGCATGTGATACATAGGGCAACAGAGGCGGACAGGGAACGGGGAAGAAATCAACGTAACAGCTGCTGCTGAAGTTCTTGGATACTTCTTGTATCCATCGACCGTTGGCCGTTCCCTCAAGCTCCCATCTTGTGGCTTCAATGCAGTCTGTAGAAAAGTGGCAGCATGCCTGAACTCCGACCCCATGTTCTAGGAAGATGGCGCAATGGACCGAAGCGGCAGGCCCCAGGCATGACCTGCTCAATCAAACATAGCGGAACGACCTCCAGTTTTACTGGCATTCAAAAATCGAAATATCTTTCCAGCCTTTGCTTGGTTGCACGTGCTCTACATTCGAAGCACCCTGCGCAACGAGCCTTGAGAATGGGTAGCCTTTGTAGCCTGCTTCCTAGTAAACTTTTTGGGTGAGAACCTGCTCCGCCTGCAGCATGAAGGTGTGCTCGTGCCTAAGTAAGATAAGATAATATAATATACTGTTCTCATGATGCGTCATAATCCTTTGCTTATAATAAAATGATATCTATATCTATATCTATATCTATATGCATATACATATACATATATATATATATATATATATATTTCTATTTCTATTTCTATTTATTTATATTTGTACTACATACTAGCACTAGCAGCCAGCTGCAGTTGCCGGCCTCCACGAGCATGTGGTTGTCTCCCAAGCCCTGGCAAAGGTGCTCATCGTCTTCTGAAGCACGGTCGCTGCTGCTACGTTCAATACAGGCCCATGTAACCAGTCACTCAAGCACAACCTCCACCGCCGAAGCTCCCCCACGGGTGTAGGGTTTTAGGTTTTTTTGTTTTGAGCCCTCTTGTCCTTCTGCCCGTTCGGATAGTTGGAATGCCGATTCGGCTGAGGGGTGGTTCGGGGCCTGCCAGGGGATTCACCACCAACCATCCAAATGCTAACCCATACTGGCTTGAACAGCACACAGACAGGCCCCAGTCACGAAATGGCCAGCAATTGCCTGCAATCGGACACTCTTGCCTGGTATCAGCAACACTGAGGTAAATAAACAGTAGAAGGTCAGTACGGAATATACTCCCAGTCGACTGCTTTAGCGGCAGAGCACCTCGGGTATGGCTGTACGGAGCGGGGTTTTAGGGTTTAGGGTTTAGGGACCCCCCCTTTTAAGATCAACTCCTTCAACATCCCGGTGCCTTGACGTGACTGCGCTTGTGTGCCAAAGCCGCCGTGTTGGTCTTCCGCCCAGTCGGCCCTTCAACCTTCCAAGTACTAGGCAAGTAGTAACCTTGATGATGCAATCACGTACATGTATAAATATATGAATATAAGTACAAAAATACAACCAGAAACCAACAAACAAATAACTATAAATATATATATATATATATAAATAAATTTATACAATGTGTATGAACCAGGGCAGCACTGACTCCAACACCATGTGTCGTCGAGAATGTTGCCCAGGGTCTGCATCGTGCTGCATGTCGTGTCCTTCTTGTTTTTCCGCATGGATAGTCCGCACGTGCAGCTAGAACATGGTATTTATGCAAACACTGTGACAGAGATAGGGATATCGGTCTTGACTTGAAGGCAGCAACGCGCGGCTGAAGAGGCAAGGCTGCCTTCATCTTTGTTCGTTAGGTTTGAAGGATGAATTTTACCTGGTGCGATTACGGTGCGTTTCTAAGGCTTGCATGATTCGAGGCTGGGGCGTTACGCCCTGTTGCGGCATTCGACTATGTCAGGGTTAACAGCATGTCCCAGCCATGCATCATCAAGCGTTGCTAGTGCGGCTTTTCGTGTCTCACTGTAGAGCCACAAGGTCGGGTGATGGCCTCCATGTAGTCTGCGTTCACACCCACGTACGCCTGAGAGATCTTGCCCTGCAGCGCGCGGATGGCTCGGGTCTTCATGCAGCCATCAGAGAGGCTCTTGCGGGGCAATTTGGAGGTTCATCATCGAGCCCAGCTGTGCGACTGTCTCACGACGACCCGGTGGCTGTGACGGCCAACGCAGTCCTGTCCCAATTCCGTGCCTTCGGGCCGCGTGGCTCGCCATAGACGTCCCAAGTTGGCCCCTGCCACGGCGACAATTCCACAGGGCCTTCTAGGCCTGCAGTGATCCTCTTGTTTCAAACCCGAACTAAACTTGCCAAAAGCTGGCACCCCACTTGAAGACTGCATCGCCCTGACTGCAAACTGCAGATACTGCAGCACAGGCATCAGTTGGCCTTCTTGTCCGGATGCGGCCCGAAAGGTGCGTCGTCTTGCACCGCCATCTTGGGTTTTGGCACAAAGGAAAACTAGATGGCCTTGCACATCGCACCGTTCCAAGACACCGTCAGCCAGCGCTAGGATTGTGGCGATCGGCATGCGCTGTGCAGGCTGGAAGAACTGCCTGGGAAGCTTGGTGCAGCTTGCGCTTGAAACTAGTTCTAGCTCCACTGCTTCACATCTACCAGCATAGCTGCTTCTGAAATTTACAGATCACTTGGATGCAATTCATCAGCCAGCACAGGACTGGACGAAGCCCCCGGCTGCTGGTTAACATCCTCCGGCAAGGCGCCGAACTGCAGCGATCAGGCAACTCCGGACTGCCCAGGCAAACCCACATAGGTGGTTGTCAAAATTAAGGTCCCTTTTGGAATAGCCTAAATACTATGTGCCGTATTATCATAGGGACCCAGAGATGGACCATAATTTTGACAACTACCCACATAAATGCAAGCGCAAATCCATGGCATGGGGAATCTCTGAGATATGCCCCACGACTGCCCGTATCCCGGCAGTCTGCGATGCTTTCCCGGAAACAGTACCGTGGTACCCTCATACTTCTCTCGACCGTAACCATGACTGACGCACGTCTGGCGCCCCGAAGGTGGCTCCGGGCCAACCATCTTCGACCTGCAGGGGCCCAAGCCAGAAACTTTGGGAGCGAACGAAGACCAGTTGTCGGAACCCGAGACCCCCAAAAGCCCAAGGAAACAAACCCCGAAAGGCCCGAAAGCAGAAAGCCCCCGAACCCAACTCTTTCTTTTTGTCTTGTCTCTGATGTTTTCTTTAACAGGAGAGGACGCACCATGCGCCTCCTCGTCTTCCGCGGCCTGGTTTTCGGGGCTCGCCTCCTGCTCGGGCTCCTCGGTGGGCTCGCCTGTCAGCCGGGTCTGTGGGATGAAGATCTCAGTTCAAGCTCCGACGAGGCCACCCACAAGGCGTGGATTCCAAGGAGTCCGTGGTGGCCTTGGAGCTGCACCACTGAAAGCACTCTTCCAATCACAAAGTAACCTGTGTGTCTCGTTTCACGTCTTCTAGACAGCAGTGCCCAACACAACAGTGGGAAGGCTTCGAGGCATAACGAAAAGCATGGAGCTCCGACGCTTGTTTTAGCACATCCGATGCCCAAATCCAGGTATTGCTGACTTGTGTTTTATGTCACGCTTCATTGTACAGAAGATCACGTTATGCTATGTTCTTTATTCGAGTTATACCATACTAACTACATATTGTACTATACTTCGTGTTAGACTGTACTTTATGATACTATACCATATTCCCGCTGAACTCCAGGGCGCTGGCGGAGGCGGCGGTGGGCGCGGCCGCTTCTCCTTGACGACCGAGGCCTGGTTGCGATCCCAATCTTCCAGATTCACAAGGACCTTATCATGAGTCCAGAAATCACAACAGGTACTGGCTAACGTGAGAACGCGCCGAGAAGGCCTGTCTTGGCTTGGAGTCGGGATCCAGCATGCCTCATAGAGAATAATGCGCAAAGTGACCCAAAGTCTGCTCTGCTGCGTCAGGCGGTCAGCCTACCGCTTGTAACACAGGCACTTCAAACGTCGACACAGCCTGGCTCGTAAACTGCTCCCACCTGTGTCCATCAAGAACTGCAAGCCAGTCTCCTCCGTGACAGCAATGCTGCGGCAAACTCTTGGCGTACATTCGTACAGAATTATGATACAATGCTCGCCAGCCTGCTGCAGCTCATATACTTAAGCTCGAAAGTGCTATGCCTTGCAAAACATCAGCCAAGAGTCTGATTTGAAATACGAGAACGACCATTCCGTCCTGGCAGGTGGCCGGTGTCTGATGCTCATCCAGGCAAGGTCGGTTGATTGAGGATACCGAACGTCGAGATATGCCACGCTGCAAAGCAAAAGCCACAACATCGAACCGCAAGGTGCAAGGACATACTATGCATTAGTTCAGGCCGGGCTTGCTCTGCAACAGAGAGCCGCTTCTTGCCTTTCTTCACCTAGGTGATGCCGAGAGAGCCCAACGGGATCAGTGCAGCACCAATCGGACGGAACTTTCTTTATGCCCTCAACAAGGAATAACAAAGGTGGACTCTTGCTGTGGTCCAGGCTGTCTTGGTCGCCTGTGGGGCCTTAGCAATGCAACGCCGCCCCCGGACACAACAGCGTGGCCAAGCAGCAGTCAATGCTTGCCCCTTCCGAGTGTCGCCGAGATCCCACTGCACAGCGTGTTACGACGCTGAGACCGGTGCAATATTCTCTTGGTCTTGCATGGAGTCCTGGCAGACAGTCAGGAAGCGACGATGCGGTGTGTAACAACATCAGCGACAGCTCTGGGTCAGGTCGCAACATTAGGCGTCTTGAAGTCATCCCCACTGCCTAAGTGTCTGCTCTCGACACTGACTTCCATCTTTTGGAAACCGCAGCCAGTCTTTCCACTGGCACGCGGCACAACGGTCTTGCCCGGAGATTCAGCAACCAGTCCAGCATTGTGCAAAAACAAACCTCTCCACTGCTTCAGACCACCATTACCACCACGACGACGACTACGACGACTACGACGACGACTACTACTGCTACTGCTACTGCTACTGCTACTGCTACTGCTACTGCTACTGCTACTGCTACTGCTACTGCTACTGCTACTGCTACTGCTACTGCTACTGCTACTGCTACTGCTACTGCTACTGCTACTGCTACTGCTACTGCTACTGCTACTGCTACTCCTACCTACTACTACTACTACTACTACTACTCCTACTACTACTACTACTACTACTACTACTACTACTACTACTACTACTACTAACTATGACGCCTACGGCCACGACCATTGCTACAACAAGCGCGAACTACTACTCCTACTCCTGCTACTCCTACTCCTACTGACCACTACTACTACTACTACTACTACTACTACTACTACTACTACTACTACTACTACTACTACTACTACTACTACTACTAGTACTACTACTACTACTACTACTGCTACTACTACTACTACTCCTGTGGTGTTGCTGCCACTACTACTACTACTACTACTACTACTACTACTGCTACTCCTACTGCTACTACTACTACTACTAATACTACTACTGCTCCTACTGCTACTGCTACTGCCACTGCTACTGCTACTGCTACTGCTACTCCTACTCCTTACTCCTACGACTACTACTACTACCACCACTACTACTACTACTACTACTACTACTACCACTACTACTACTACTACTACTACTACTACTACTACTACTACTACTACTACTACTACCACTTCTACTACTCCTACTGCTACTCCTACTCGTACTCCTTCTCCTTCTCCTACTCCTACTTCTACTCCTACTACGACTACTACTACTACTACTACTACAACTACTACATCTACTATCCACCATCTACTAATACTGCTACCATTCCTCCTCCTGCAGGACCAACACATGGCTGATACTGTTGTTGCCACTACTACTAGTCCATTACTTCCGCGACTCCGCCTCCCCGCTCCCCGGATTGTTACTGTACTTGCTCTTCGTTAACATAGCGTCTTCTTCTTGCAACTTTCATTTAGCAATGATTCCCATCCCTTCCGGGCGCCTCCGCCCTTCGCGTGCCATCCGTGGGCTGTGCCTCCTGAAAGAGCCATGAGGAAGTAAACTTCATTCAACACAGCAAAGGAGCTATGCGAGAAGAGCAAGACCACCAGGATCGACAACAGCAAGCTCAGTGATAGAACCCCACTGTGGTCTGAAATATTATCATAGCTCGATAACAACACTGAAGAAGAGAGGGCCACTTCCGCGTTCAGCAACCTCCGCAGTGTCTTCATCCCAGACCCAACGGTGTTGCAACCCAGAAAGTTTCCGAGTCTCAACACGAACTCGCAGGGCAGGAGCACGGGCTTCCTCCTCTGCCTCCTCTGGCACACCCTGGAGAGGATCAGGCAAAAAGTTCAGAGGAACCAGCATTATAAAGAGCAGTACGCCCCTGCGAAACCTTGGAGTTGAAAGTCCTCTGATGGTTCTGATCACTGTGATCAGACTTCAAATTGATCTTCCACTAGTAATACTACACTAGTAGTGTTTTACGGTAAAGCTTCAGCATGCTAACCTCAGTTTCAGCCGGGAAGGGTCCTTGGTGAAACTCCTTCGCAGTCACTCATGAAAGTCACGACCCTGGACCCCGGAATGCCAAGCCCAATAATGGAAGGCTGAAGTCCTGTAACCCACCTACAAAAAGCGCTACAAAAAGCGCACCTTTACAAGTCTTTTCCCGTAAAATGCCCGACGACCCGACAGACGAAGTCCAACAGCCTACGCTGAAACCAAGAGCTATTCGTCAAAACACTTTTCGCACAAGGCCTGAGCCAAGCCTGAAAGCTGCATGCAACGACGACCCTAGCAGCCCGAAATGGCAGGATCCTGATATAAAGGTTCGCTCAAAAAAATTACATCGAATACAGCTTAAAAACACCCAAACACATAGTAACAACTCTCAAAATCCGGAACCCTAAACCCTGAAACTTAGATCGCTGGCCTTTGGCACCTCCACTGACTCTGCCTCGAGGTCGGCTCCCTGGCCACCGGCTTCCATCGCTTTGGAGGTTCCGTTGCTAATACCAAACGTGGAAGCAGGGATAGGAACATCTCAGGGACTGTTGGGAGAGCCACATGGGCCTAGAAAGAACCAGAGCTACAACTTGCTGTTCGAGTACATTTGTTTTGCGGATCTCCAAGGCTTTTGTCAAGATGGCTCTCTCTCCCTGACCAAGCATCCCAAAGTTGAACTTTGACTCATGTAGGCGTCGAGCACATCTCGACTCCATGCGACGCGAGTGGGTGCTTTGCGAAGCTTCTTGCCTCTCTCTCTGCGACAGCAACCACCGCAAGAGCCCGACCTCGACAATGCGTAAATTACGGGTCCTAGGGTGATGCCATGTGACCATCCCATCTGGTTTATTGAGCTGCCGCTTGCGTCACTAGCTCGGTCTGTGCAAACGTGGAAAGGATTGTCCCCACAGCTCTATCATCTGCATGTGTACCGGCAGCAGAAGATGCTGCTGCGACTACTGCAACTCCGTCCCCGAAGCGAGCCGTCGCCTCCCTTAGACCCAAAAAAAACACACAAACCAAAGCCTCGAGATGCGGACCTAAACCTTATGAACACTCTAAACCTTCAGCTAAACCTTATAATCCCTATACGTCTTTTGAGCCATAAGACATAAAAAAAATGCACATATAAATATAAATAAATATATATATATATATATATATATATATATATATATATAAGCATAAATACATACTTACATGCATACCCTACACTCTGCCCAACGAGCACGGGAGCCCTGCTCAGCAGCTCTGCAGCAACCGGCGCAGGCTGCTCTGCCAGGCGGCCCTGCAGGGCCTGCGTCGGGGGTGTTCCCGGATCTTCTCATGACTTGGGCTCTAAAGGGGTGCATACATTTATACATGTATAGATGTATATACGCCTATATGAACATGTATATATATATATATATATATATATATATATATATATATATAGTTATGTATATGTATATGCGTGTATATGCATATATATATATACACGTATATATACGCATGTGTATATAGGTATGTGTATACATAAATACTACAATGTAGGTACTCATGATTTACTCATTAGTTATGTATATATATATATGTATGTGTATGTTTTTTATGTGCATATAAACTTTCGTCATCTAGGTTGCCAAGAATCCACATACATATACATATACACAGACATGTAACTTTAGCTATGTAACTGCCCATATACATATACATCCGCGCACAGTGTAGTACATACTTGTCTGCACATGTACCCTCTATGATTTTTCAACAACCTGTTCAGGGCTGGTGGATCCAGCACCTCAGAAAAACTCTGATGTCACAGAGCCACATTCGCCTCCGACCCCGCTGTCCCCACGCGCCTTCACACAGTGGTCGAAGGCGTTGAGCTTGAGCCCCTGTCAGGCGTGATGCCCGACTAGCTCCCTCGTCTCAAAAGCTAATGGCATTACACCCGCAGAGGCCTGAGGGTTCTCAAAGGCTGCAGCATGGTCAACAAGCTCCCTTAGACGAAACTCCAAAGTCTCAGCCAACGAAATGGCCTGTGCAAAGGCAGGGTCAGGAGGGATCTCCTTGGCCTCCACGACCACCTCCTGGCATGAGGATATCAACTCCAATCTGAGACCTGTAGGTGTAGATTCCGAACTTTATATGCGGGCGTCGCAGAGACAAATCGCAGACTCTAGGGCTTTCTGTCTACTGACGGTTGATCACGCACAGCAGTTCTACTACTTGACGGTGGCTGGGGGTGCGCTCGCTAAATTAACAACAATTCTTTGATCCGTCATGGACGTCAGGAGCTTCAACACCAGTTGACGTGATTCAGGTCTGCAGCACCGAGGAAGTCTTGGCCAACGGCACGGCGTGAACTGGTCAGAACAGTCTGCCTGCTACCAGCTTTCACTCCTATGACCTCTGGATAGCTAAACTGGTGCCCAGCACATTGAAGTATACGCTACGAGTATGACATACAAAAAGGCAGTAGTCCTCCTCTTTCTTGCCCTTCTTTCCTTTCTTTCCTGCCACACACACACACACACACCACATACTGGCATTGAGGAGCAACGCTTTGTAAGGTCGCGCAATCTATGTTGCATGTATCACTCATGGCCTTGGCTCGCTGACGACGCAGGGATCAGTGGACACATGGATCAGCAATCTTAGCCCTGTGCAGGCGGAAGGCGGAAAAGGCCCTAACAACTCCTTTACCTTCAAAACATTACAGTACTACAAGGCAAGGCATCCCACGAACTCTACTATGCAGAATTTCGTTGTCAAAGAAATACTTAACTCCTTGCTTCTACTGCAGGTCGATATCGCTGTAATTGCCGTAACGGTCAACATACACTATGATCATGCTAGAACTGATCAACACCATCATGCACCCTACTAGAATCTGGTCTTGGGGCCCATAATACTATATAATCAGGGTGGGTCCTAATTAAGGCCCCTGTATTATACCCTAAACCCTAAACCTATGTTATTCACTATGATAGCCACTATGCTAGAGAGCTGAGGTGAGCCCAGCCTTTCTCTTTTGTCTTTTCCTTCGCCTTGTCCTGGTCGCTCAGGGGCTTTAATTGGGTTTAGGGTTTATACGGGTCTTTGCCGGATTCTAAGGGTGTAGTAGGGGTAAGGGTTCATAATGGTTTAGGGTTTCGGGATTTGGGTTTCGGGTTTTGGGTTTCGGGTTGTGGATATTCGGTTTGGGATTTCGGCTGGGGAATCATCGGTACTGATCGTCGGACTTCCACGGCTTCTCGCATCCAGGCATCGTCACTGAAGCTTCTCTCTGCCGTGCAATTTAGGGATCTCAACAATTGGCATACGTTGCTTGGATATGTGATAGTCTAGTTGCACGGAGGAACTCCAATTAACAACATGTTCGTACTTGTTCATACCCCAATTGCAGACATTACATATATACTCTCTCTATATATAGATATATAACTGATATAGACTTATTAGTACATACAATTCAAAACTATTTTGCTCCTGATATGATTTATATGATAACATACAAATGAATATGATAACTTGTTATATATATATGTTAAAAAACACCGTAGAGCTCTCGGAGTCGCCTTCTTGGCCTTGGCCTTGGGATCTTCCTTCTTGCCCTGCGCTGGGGGCTGACATGGCATGGGGGGGGGGGGGTTCCGAAAATCAGGGTTACCTTAGGGTTCCTTTTAAGGGCTCCATAAGGGTACTATAAGGGTTCCTTTACAGGGCTCTGCTACCCTAAGACATGTTTATTGTGTCCCAGTAAAGCAATGGAAGGACGCCATCCCCCAGTCTAATGCCCGAACAGCCAGAAACAGGAGACTTGTGAGTGCACATACATGTCAGTGTGTCATGTGCACGGGTCTCTGCCAGCTGTAGTTGTTGCATGTTCTTGTTAATCTGTATGTTTTGTCATTTTGTCCAAAACGAAACGTTTTGGCTCAAGGGTTTAGAGTTTCCGAAAATAAGGGATACCTTATTTTGGGGGTCCGTATAACAAGGATCCCCTAGTTTTTAGGGTGCTCTATGGGGGTCCTGTATTTCGGGATCCTTGTAATGAGGGTCCTAGTAGTTAGGGTACTAAATTAGGGACCCTCATATAGTACCCTAAAAAGTAGGGATCCTTATTATAAGGACCCCAAAATAAGGTATCCCGTACTTTCGGAAACTCCCACATGCGCTTTCAACCCCTGCAAGGCCCTCCCTGCTCTTTGCAGGCGCTTGAGCTGCGGACCGCATTGCGCATCTTCTTTAGCTCGGCTGCCTCCCACTCACGGTACCTGCGGCGATCGGTCAGGTGCTACCTTTGTCACCACCAGCATCTCGCAAGTTTTCGGATCCAACCCTCAACGCATTGCCGCCAGGCGGCTGCTTCAGCGTGCCCTTCAGCTTGATCTGATCCTGTTTCAGTCGCAGGGTGTGGAGACTTCCACATTTGACACGGCGATTGCTGCAACCAATCCCGGTGACACCCACCCGTGCATGCTCCAATTCTCGAGCGAGCTTCCAATCAACACCTGGACGATGCCATGTCCAGAAGCGCACCACCCGCCTCCTCTGAGATCGGAGGGTATTCGACGAGCTGTCGGAACCTCGAAGGAACAGCTACGAGTTTGGGCGCAATGCGAGGCAAGGCAAACAGCCTCTGACCCTCAACAGCCTGCCCTGATTGGGAGAAAAGTGCAGTTGTGTGAACGGCCCTGCTGATGTCAGTCGCAGATCAAGACCCCAATGCATGCTTCGTCACATTCTGTCGAGCCAAGCGACTCAGTGATGGCACCAGCTTGAGTTGTCTCCGCTTGCTGCGAGGCCTTTCGGACAAGCAGTTGACACGTCTGTTCACCCAACTCGTTGACCCGTGCAGCCTCGACTAAGGTGACTCAAAGAATTGATTGCCGAGTCGGTACTTCTGCAGGGACAGTATCACATCAAATAGCGACGCGAACAGCTGTTTCACAGCTGCACCATGCACCCTCCCTCTGCACCTGTTGGGAGGCCTGCTGTGAAGCCTGCGAAATCACCTCAGCAGCACCACACTGACTGCTCCTATGAAGCAAAACCCTTGAAGGGTAACTCCGCAAAGCTCCAGGGTTCAACAGATGCAGGCTGAGGCGGCATCAGAACAAATGCTGCCACCGCCGTCCAGGCCTGAAGCCGGCCGATGTACAATAATACAATACTGTAATGCTTTTACAATACAATGTAGAAGTACAAAACAAGTACAAGGATATAGCTATAGAGGAAGATAGTTAGCTGCTCAAAGCGAGCTGTGAGACAGGGCGTCTGCCCGAACCAGCCGGTCTCGCACAATGGCATGCCCCGCTATGCCGCCTGCTTTTGAGAGAACATGTGCAATGCCTTAAAGACAACTTGTTCGATACTCTCCATGATACACTCATAGCAGTACTGCGGTATGTTATAGTATACTATAGCATGTAAAAGTATATCATCGTATACTATGCCATACCGGAGAGCTACACACATTCCTCACAACTGTATTCTCGAAGGTACAATCAGGGCCCATGGGGAGCCCCAGTACCGGCAACACAAGGCTGGATGTGACATTCCTGCAACCAGTCGCGAGTTCTCGATCACTAAAGTTAGGCGTGGAGACGATCCCTTCTGACCTCGGAGCGAGCATTCGTAAAAAGTTCGCTCAGGTTCCAGCTGTCTGGAAGGGCCAGAGATCCCATCTGCGGCACCTCGGCGCTGTGCAGATACGGGACAGTAAATGGCACTGGTGGCCCTCAAAGTGCCAGTAATTGTGCAAAGCTGTATATAGCCAGGTACAGGAGCACACTTTTTCACATGAGCCAATGCTGCGACTGCCCCCAGCATATGGTACGGCATGAGCAAGTCAGTAGCTAGCCATGCCGAAATGTCTTTGCACACCATGGGCAAAGACTGCAAAGTCCGTTTGCGCATGCATGAAGCTGATGCTACAGTGCTGTCTCATCTGCGCGTTGATACCGACTTAAGCAGGAGACCGACAGCGCATCAGGCAAACGGGTCTTGAAGATAGTGTGGCCTCAGCTGGAAGTGCAAAGGCAAGACAATCGTCACCACGAAGCAACCGATATCCCGCCCGCAGGAGCCCCGCTTCAGCAAGCATTACCTCCGGTAAGACGACCTCTCTTCTATAGAAACGAACAAGAAGCCTCATTGCTCGAAGAGCCGATCGACGGCCAATCCACAAACCCGGAGCTTCCAACATCAAAGCCCCTTCCCAAACACCTCGTCTTCTTTCTTCAATGCTCGTCAGCCAGTGAAGCCTTAAACTTTGGGTTTGAAGCAAAAACGGGTAATCACACCCCACACTGCCCTTCACGGTATCTGTGGCATCCGAAACTCCCGGAAGGCATCTGGCGGTGGCGACACCCGAGTTTGGCAAGAGGAGGGTAACCATGCCCATCTAGCCTACTAGTACACCAGACGGCACCGGGCAATGCATAATGCATCTGAGGACCATGCATTTGAAGTTCTGCAAGCGCTCGGAAAGAGGCTCAGGTCCTCGACTTCTCTCAGGCGAACCCATGTGAGACAGCAAACCGTACGACGGCGTCAAATGTGCTGGATGCTTGGCTGAGCTCCCGTGCCTACGACCAGCGCGGTCGCATCATCGTGTGCTGCCTTGGCCGGAAATGTCATCCTATATACCCGACATGCGTGAAAATATTCTTTAAGCTACCCCTGATGATATCTATCTATCTATATATATATATATATATATATATGTATATACATATATATATATATATATATGTATATATATATAATATATATATATATATATATATATATATATATATATATGTGCAGTAGCAGAATGTGCAGCCCCAAACGCAACCCGACGTTCCGGGACTCTCGCCTGGAGGATCTTTGCAGCATGCCCCGAGCTCAGCAGCTCTTCTGCCTGCATAGATGGGAGATCAGCCCCCTAATATAGGGGCCTAAATAATTACCTATATGGTTCCTTTAAAGGGGTCTATAAGGGTCGCTATAAGGGATCTGGAAGGGTACTAAAGTATAGGGGCTTAAATACTTACCCATATTATTTGAGGGGCTCCCTATTATAACTTAGTAGAATGGGCCCAAAACGCCATTCTAATTATTAAGGCCCCTATCTTATATGCTATTATGTCAAGGGCCTGCAAAGGCCGCAAAGAGGCATATGTGTGCCCCTATCGGCGCAGAGTTCAGGGTTGGCTTAGGTTTTCGTGTGCATCTTTGTGGAGGAACATGTCTGGTTTGGAAAGATTTGGATTTATTTATTGTCACACGGACACTTGTGATTAAAGACTTGCCATACATACATACCTACACCCATGCATACATTTGACATCCGGCTGACTTGCTAGCTTCTACCTCGGGTGTTGTCCCATATGTGGTGTTCTCGAGGTTGTGCAACTCGCGAATCCTTGGGCAAGGCTTACACCACGCTCCGCTCCAGGCACCCATCCTCATCATGCATGCATGTATGCCGACACACACACACAGACACGACACACACCGACACACACCGACACACACACACACACTCACACACACACACACACTCACACACACACACACACACACTCACACCCACACACACACACCCACACCCACACACACACACACACACACACACACACTCACACACACACTCACACCCACACACACACACACACACGCACACTCACACACACACACACACACACACACTCACACACACACACACACACACACACACTCACACACACACACACTCACACACACACACACTCACACACACACACACACACACACTCAGACAAACACCACCACGACTCTGAGCCTGAAGAGCACCAGACAGCCAGCAACGCGCAATCAACGCCGGGTCCACAGCTCTACACTGGCATGCACCTCCGAACTGAAGACCTGGGCGCCACCAGGAACCCTGGAATACTCTGATAACTCTGAACTCCGATGGTCTACGCCCCCAGAATCCGAGGTGCGGAACCTTGCAAACCCTGTATGAACCCTGAAGCCTTAAGCCCCAAACCATCAAACACAAAAAAATGAAATAACAAAAAAAACCGATGCTAAGACTGACCTCGCCGGTGCCGTGGATGACGAATAGCCGCGGCTCCGGGGATTCTGGGGCCTCAGCCTCCGTCTCAAAGTAGGCCTGTACTTCACGAGCGTTTCGGGACGCCTCATGTTTAGGCTTGGTTCGCTTTAGGGTTGAAGGGCTTCCGAAGAACTTACCTTTGGTTAGTAGGGAATGGAAGAATCGTAATAATAGTAGTTAGAATTGCACCCCATTCCTCCATTCCCTACTAACCAAAGGTAAGTTATAGGATTTTGAAGGCCCCTATATTATAGTACCCCTATAGATCCCCTATAGTAGAAGAGTTGCAAGGGTTGCTGAAGCCTGCCAGGGAGAAGCCGCACACACCAATCGGCCAAGATTTAAGGGAATCAACCGACGACGTCGGCTACTTTACCGAGCCCTGCAAACATGGCGTGGGCCGTGGATGCAGGGGCGGGTTAGGGTTCAGTTGCTGAGACGGGCTGGCAATCCTTCCGCTTTCAAGTTTTCTACTAGTTAGCTACTGCAATTTGTAACACTTGGGGGCTCCAAAAGGACTCGGGGGCCTACCTGGTTTCCCTCTCCGCAGAGAGGGAAACCCGGTAGGCCCCCGCATTCCTGTTTTACGTCTCCCAAAGCCCCTGTTGTATCCTACGATCCTTGCACGTCGGCCCATATGAGCTGGCGATCTCGATCTGATCGCGCTCGTGGTTAAGCAGCAACAGCAAAGTGGTGTCGTGCTATGGACTCATTCATTCGGCGTAGATGCTCTGATCCTGCTCAGACGACTTCCTGACCTAGAAGGAGTGTTTGTAGAGAGTTGCGCATGTGATGCGGCAACAGAGAATATTAGGTGCTGGGGAGAGCGGTAAGTTAAGAGAAACACTTCTCGTCTGGGACCGATGCACAACTATTATGCCGCACACAAAGCAAGGATGCAGCGGGTCTCAACTCAAGCACGACTTCTTACAGCTTCCCGCAAGAATAATTGGGTCTGCCCCGAACAACCACAGCGCTCTTCGCAATGTGATTCTTGGAAGCTGGGTGCCAGCCTTTTGGAATTCCACTTGTGTAAGTCTTGGAATTACCAACTGCATCTCTTGAGCCTCCAAGGCATTCCACCCATAACATGTGGTAGCACAGCCTTGGAACATGTGCACCACCACAATTTTGGAACCATAGCAGGATTCACACTCAATCTTCGCAAGTTGACTATTGAAACATCATCACTGCACAGGTGGCAACAGTCGATGCCACCTTGTGCTTCAGAAAGCTCTGGGCAGAGCCAGAATTCTTGCTAGAGACCCCATGGTAAGCTTCAATAAACTCACAAAGTGTGGGGGTCAAAACCGGACTGTTGCCTTGTCTCTTGGCCGAAGGTCGCGGAGGTAAAGCTTTCGGATCCCATGTCGGATGCTGGCCGCCGCGCACGCAACTCTCGGATGCCGGCAAGTTCAGATTGCTGCCGTTGTCGGGATTCGTCTTGAACGAAATGGCTGAGCTGGAGGCAAATCTTAATTGGCACAGAGGCGCTCTGGTCCTGCGAGCCCTCTGCATGCGGTGATTCGAAGGCAGACATCTGCACGCATCTGGCCTTGAGAAATCTCCGGGGGTCATCTGGCATTCTCAAGCAGATGCTCCTCAATTCTTGGGCAGAATCCTCACCGGATGCGGCGAATCTGTCGATCTTCTTCCTTATGGACTCCCAGTCTGTCGGACGACAAACTTTCCGGAGACAGGGCATACTGGACTCAAGTTCCTCATCTCCAACCCGACGCTCAAAGCTGAGATGGGCTTGCTCGATGTCCAGAAAGGGGCTGGAACCGTCCACCAGCAACATCATCCCGGCTAGCTCTGGTAGTGGCTCCCAAACAGAGCTTCCACTAGCCGAACTTCCGGAAGACGACGCCGTTCTGGACTTTAATCTCTCCGACCGTTCTCTTATCCTTGCCATGTCTGGGATGTCCTTTGCAAGAGCTGGCGGATTTCGGGACTCGGAGTCCTCACTTATTGCCAGCAGGTGGTATGGATGGTCAGCACCAAAGAGATGTGGCACGGGGACGTGAAAGATATCGGCCGGCACGCGCGTGTTCGAAGCACCGCACAAGGAAACACGAAGGCAAGTGGGCGGAGTCATACGAGATCCATCTGCCGGCTCAAGTGCGGCTTTCGTGGACGCATTGATGAAGTCGGCGAAGCGCTGACGCTCATCCGGTGGCAACCTGAAGCATGTGCTTCAAAATCAATTCGATTCAACATGTGTCATGTACTCTACGCAAAACACGGAGCTGCCAGTGCTAAACCCACACCAAGAAATCCCATCTCGCGGACTTGCAGATGTAGAACAAGCCCAACCCCTCGCTGCTCGAAGCTGCTGGACATTGAATCATTGCTGCGCCGTGCCAGCCTTGGAGCCCTGAAGCCTCAATTGGTTCATTGCCGAGTGGCAGCATCTCAAAAGATTTGCCGTTCAGATTCGCTCCTGGCCAACAGTGCTGCGCTTCTGAGAACTAGGAAGGGTCACAGGATGCAGGTGGCTTCCACTGAAGTTTTGTCGGGAGCTAGCTGATCTTCGAAGCCTGTCAAATAGACTCGAGACATAATTTGTGTCCTTGTGTGTTGCCAAAGGGCGGATTCGCTTGAAGTTGTCCGAACGGATTCTGCGATGCATGTCTTGCTTTTAGCCTCTTTGGGTCAGCGCCCTTTGTCATGCCAGCAGACAGTGCGGGCACAACTAAGCCGTGCTAAGCACTGTCTGAAGCTACACCTCATGCAATGCACTCATGTGCTTGGACAAGGCTCTGTTCATGAGCAGGTTCTGCAGGCAGTCGCCAGGGCCGTGAATCCTTGTCGCAGCTAGCGGCCAAGGTATCAGAATGCTAGGCCAGCTGCTAGGCCAACGAAGCAAGTGAGCAGTTGCGAATGGAATGATCAAGTATTTCATCAACACCCTGACAACCCATCCATCCACAATCACAGGTGACCTACAGTTCACGATGCTGCCCATGCTTGCGTAACCTTCTTGAAAAGCGTCGTCATATCACTGGTCAGGAGAATATCTCCATCGCAGATCCCTCGAAGGACGTGCTGGAAGCTGGAAACCAGAGTCTCGGCATCTGCAAAGTCCAGTAGCACGTGGATACGTGAACGGATGAGAAACTCCAGCAATGCAGACAGCGCCACGGACCCTGCCTGAGCGATCCAGCTATCACGAAAGAAGGGTCTTGAAACACAACACGCAAAAATTGAACGTGGCAAACAGCTCCAAGCCTACATTGCGCAAAGTTACCCGAAGCTAATTTCACCAGAGTCACGAAATTCTGAAACTCCATGCCCAACAGCAGGAAGGGTTCTTGACCAGTGCTGTGAATGAACAGCTCCGAAACCAGAGAAGCCGCAGAAATCCTCAACATGCATCCAAATTGGTGACCACTGTCGTCCATGTCACAGCAAGAACGCCAAAGACTACAACAATATTACACGAATACTATTACATTCTGCTATAATGCAACTACAGTAATACTACAGAACTACGATAGTACTACCATAGTAAGACTACAATAAGACTACCCACAGCAGACTGAACAACGCCAACACCTCAGCCTCAGATGGCTACAGCCAGGCGGCAAAGCCTGGAAGATGAAACAAAGCCTCGGCGACGCACGATAATGCAATGTAGTAGTAGTAGTAGTAGTAGTAGTAGTAGTAGTAGTAGTAGTAGTAGTAGCAGTAGTAGAAATAGTAGCAGTAGTAGTTGTAGCAGTAGCAGTAGCAGTAGCAGTAGCAGTAGTAGTAGTAGTAGTAGTAGCAGCAGTAGAAATAGTAGCAGTAGTAGTAGTAGCAGTAGTAGAAATAGTAGCAGTAGCAGTAGTAGTAGTAGTAGTAGTAGTAGTAGTAGTAGTAGTAGTAGCCGTCAAAGTAGCTTACGGTAACAGACCTCTGGAAGATCAGGGTGATGATGGCGTTGATGAATGTGACGGCAGACTGATGCGATGAATATGGTTCCGATACTCGGGGCTTCATGCTCTGGTATCCTGCCAATGGCAGTAGCCACGACATTCTTGTCTTCTCGTACATCAATCCCCTCAGCTACTCCAGGGTCTCCTCCGGGATGAGATATTAGACCCCAACATCTGGGTCTAATTAGCAAACCCCCACACCGTGCCGTTGTAAGATAGGCTGGTATATTAGACCCCGGCTCTGCGGCTGACGTTTTTTTGACACTCTGCGGCTCCCTCCGGTGTCTGTTCTTTGGAACATGACTTGTGCACCCCCACAAGCCATGTGCCAAACCAGAAATCCACGGCCCCCCGCTCAGATATACAATACCCGGCCGGGGAGAATGTATAAACTGGGGGGTTTGAGGGGTATGCATTTCAGACGAAATCTGGATAAAGTTATCTTTCACTTCGCTCGCTTTTCTGTCAACCACGCGACTGCGACTTGCCACCTGGTACCCCCTTAACAACTCAGACATGTTTGAACTCTTTTGAGCTACAGCCACTCCGCGGAGTGGGATTAAACACTGTGGGGTCGACCCGCAACCCCGAAACCCCAAAACCGCGACAGTGAGCCAAAAAAACCCAAAACCCACAAGCCCGCAACCCAGAAACCCTAAACCGACAAACCCCTAAATCGAAGCCCTGCAACTCCGAAACCCTAAACCCCGAGAACGCGAGAGTGAGCCACAAAACCCCGAAACCCGCAAGCCCGCAACCCAGAAACCTGAAACCCCGAATCCGCGACAGTGAACCCGGAAGCCCTAAACCCCTAAACTGAAGCCAGCAACCCCGAAACCCAAAAACCCGAAACCTGAGCTACAAAACGCCGAAACCCACAAGCCCACAACCCAGAAACCCTAAACCGACAAACCCAGAAACCCTGAACCGTCTGCAACTCCCAAATCCTAAACCCCGAAACCGCGACAGTGAGCCACAAAACCCCGAAGCCCGCCAGCCAAGAAAACCTAAAACTCCGAATCTGCACTGAACCCAGAAACCTAGGCCCAAAACTCTTAAATTGAAGCCAGCGCAAGAGTGTGCCACAAAATTCCGAAACCCACAAGCACGCAAGCCAGAAACCCTAAACCGACAAACCCCTAAATGAGCCGGGGTCTACAGCCCGGGCCCAACCACCCCGGGTGGGACTGCACGAGCCGGGGGGCTGTGGACCCGGCTCTTACACCCCCGCCCCAAATTGGTTGAGCTTTCAGTGGGCCCGGAGGTTGCAGGCTTCGATTTAGGGGTTTAGGGTCTGCGTGTTTAGGGGTTTCTAGGTTGTGGGCTTGTGGGCTTCGTGGTGCACTCTCGCCGTTTCGGTGTTTAAGGTTTCGGGGTTGCGGGTTCCTGTGTTTCTGGGTTTTTGGGGTTTCTGGGCTCACTTTCGCGGTTTCGGGGTTTAGTTTACGGGTTTAGGGGTTGCGGGCTTTTGGGTTTAAGGGTTTGGGGTTTCGTGGTTGCGGGCTGCTGGGTTTTGGGGTTTATTTATGCTTGCTGGGTTGCGGGCTTTTGGGTTTGTGGGTTAAAGCTTTCTGCGTTGCGGGTTTCTTGGTTTGCGGTTTCTGGGTCGCGGGCTGCTGGGTTCAGGGGCTTAGGGTGGTAACGATTTCTCTGGCGCTCGTGAGGCCAAGCATTTGTCAACGATCCGACAGCAAATCAGCAAAAGGTCAGCATTAAAGTTAGGGCCTTCCAAGAACCTAACCGCCGACCGCACCCCTACATTGTATAAAGACTAATGGTGCATCCCCCGCCATATATACATTCTTGGGCGTGGCCGTGGCTTCATGGTCCATCCGTCTCTAGACATCTGCCCCGAAGCTTGTCACGTCAGCAAGGAGCACGCATAAGAGGGTCTAAAATCCCAAACACCCGCAAAGGCCTAATATCCCAAACCTCTGATTTAAGACCCTTGCAACGGCCAGCACCTGGGGTTACTGATTCCAGACCCTCTAGTAGCTGAGGGGATGTACATCACATACTCTCACATCCTGGCCATGCTTACCCGTGTCATGCTGCACCAACATCAAAGCAACACATTCGGCAGCGAGGCCAGCCATGTCGGTAGATGTCGGTAGTGTCTTGCCAGGCGATGCCAGGCGGCATGGCACCGTGATGCTATCAGTAGAAAGACGGCAGAAAATCTATGACGACGCATGCACGTGACATGCTGAAGAGGCCTTTCCTGTAGCTGAGTGGCATGCAAGCTATTCTTAGCATCCGTCGTCGCCGTCAATGTTTTAGTGGCAGCAACAGTAGCAGTACCAGTATTTGTGGCAGTAGCAGTAGCAGTAGTAGTAGTAGTAGTAGAAGTAGTAGCAATAGTAGTAGAGTCTTGTGGTCATGGCCGTGGTCGTCGTAGTATACAACAACAACTACTACTACTACTACTACTACTACTACTACTACTACTCCTGCTACTACTACTACAACTCCTGCTACTACTACTACTACTCCTCCTGCTGCTGCTGCTGCTACTACTACTACTACTACTACTACTACTACTACTACTGCTACTGCTACTGCTACTGCTACTACTGCTACTACTGCTGCTACTACTACTACTACTTCTACTACTACAATCGGCCGCGGCAGTTGCAGTGGCACTTGCAGGAGTAGTAGCAGCAACATACTCGTATCGGTCATGATGCCATGATGTCTGATGATGGCCTTGCTGTTGGTGATGATGCTGTCCTCATGTACTATGACACGAGTCACTCCGCAAGTAGGCTTATCAATGAGTCTTGCTAGTTAGTAGTTGCAGAATTCAGAACCGCGATTGCAGTGAGCATGAATTTGTTGTAACTGTCAGACACGTAACCCCTATCAATGCCAACTTCCATGACAACAGCATGCCATCAGGAAGTGCACTGCTTCAAGTTTCGCGCTGGAAGCCGGCAACATGTCGGAGACTTCGTGTAGACAGTGGCAGCTGAGTGCGTCAGCTAAACGATGAAGCCGACTTGATGCAGTTCACTGCTATTGCTATACTTGTAAGACAAGCCACTCGGTGTCAATGAATATGGAGGTCATCGTCAATCGGCTGCCAATCTTAAAGCCTCTCACTCGACACTACGGGATTCGCTGCACATGTGGCGCAGCAGGGCCCGGCCTTGCATGAACATTGCATCTCTGGCTGTAGGGTGGCAAGGAGCAAGCAGCACGAACGCCGCAAACCTGATTTCGGCGCAGTGAAAGGAATAAAACCTGGTCCGGGATGCTCCGTCCCTTGTAGGCCCTGTGTTTTCCGAGTGACTACGTACAGTGTTCAAAAGGCAAGAAGCAGTGTCCACCAGCCCGCGCACACTCCTTTGATCTGATAGGGCATCGGGCGAAGGGCGCCAGTGGCAACTGCCCAGTGCATCGAGTAGACCTGCGGGGTATTACTGCGACAGAGGAAGACCAAAGCAGTCCGGACGCTGCTGCATCCAACCTGTGGGCGTGCAGAGTACTCTGCACCCACTTGGGGCTGATTCCGTTCACAGTGACAGCAACTGCACACAAATGAAGAGGGACGGCATCTGCTTGAAAACAGTGTACAGATGTCAGTGGAAACTTCAGACACGCCACGATCAGCAGGAATCCCATGCGGGCGCAGGCGATCAAGCTGGGATTTGACAGCAGGTCGAATAACATGAAGAGCATATTCAGCATTCCGATGTGAACAAACAGTCTCGCCGACAGCACGTAGTTTTTCTGTCGCACCTCGGACACAGCCGTACGGCGCTAATTAGGAGTTCTGACGAATGCGGTGCAAGCTTTATCATCCGAACTGTGCCAGGAGATGGTGCAACCGAGCGGCCTCGCGCATTGCCTCACTCACACGAGCATTCCGCGAGTTGTCCTGACGATTGTTCTGTGCAGTTCCGGGGCTCGCAAAAGGGTTACTCGCTGTAAGTAACTTTGAGGTTAACAATGATGATGGTGCCGCAGGCTTCGCTTGGAATGACAAGGCCGATGAGGAGAGCAGCATCACATGTCGGTAGAGGGCGTGCGGCAAAGCGGTCCTCATCGGCCTTGTCATTCCAAGCGAAGCCTTGCTGAAGCCTGGGAGGCTGTTTCAAGCATGATGGGGAAGCGCATCATAGGCAAGCACGTTCCTCTCCAGCGCAGGAGTGCTGAAGAAGCAGACAAGCAAACAAGTGAACACACACACAGAGACAAACAAGAGACTCAGAGTAAACAAACGACCACGTCATGATTTGCGCAACGCTGCTAGAACCAGGCAATCAAGCAATCTTTTTTCACCAGCACGCATTCTTCCGCCTCGAATGCTGGTGGAGTTTAAAGCACAGGCGAACAACATCAGACTATCAAAAACCAAAAACAAGCAAACACACAAACACACAGAGAAATAGACAGGCAGCAGACAGGCAGGCAGGCAGACATGCAGACAGACACACAAATTAGTACAAACACACAAGCGAACAAAGAAAGAAACACACAAAGACACAACCAGGCAAGCAAACAAACAAACAATCAGTCAGCCAAACAAAAACACAAACAAACCAATTCACAAGGAAGTAAACAAGCAAACAGCAGACAGACAAACAGAAAGGGAGCCAGGCAGGCAGGCAGACAAGGAACATGCAAAAGAAAAGCCAATCCGGCCGCATCCGGCGCGCATTATAAGGAACATCCCAAAATGCAAAAATCCGGAATTAGCTCCGGCCAGTGCGCGTCGTACAGTGTCACCAAGTAAATACTGCGCGGCATTGCAGTCAATTCGATAGAGGACTGTTTATGATGGAAAGACATTGACCGTTGCGGCGTCCAGAATTCGGCATCGGCAAGCCAACTTTAGGTAATCCAGAAGTCCACCAAATCCCAGAGTTCCAACATTCCGGAACTCCCTGATTAGCCTGTTTGCACGCAGCCAAAATTCCTTCAGTTGCAAGATGCATTGCACCAACCTCTTCCAGAATTCCAGAAACCCACAACTCTGTAATGCAACCATTATATGAACCTGCACCCCCTAGATTCTGCAACAATTGTGACATTATGGGCATTATCAGTCTCAGCGGTTGAGTGTCGAATCATGGAACTGTGGAACAAGGGAAGATTGAAATTTCCACATGCCAGTCTCCCTGGAACGATGGAAAGACTACTCACAGTTCCCGAGGTCCACTTAGGAGCTAGGAGGTCACGGACATATGGGTGGTTGTCAAAACTATGCAACTCGAAGGACCTCATAGATCCAGCCGCGTGGCCACTGCACCATATACTTGATGTCCGATTTGCACGTCGGGTTAACTCGCCAGTGGGCGATCCCCACCATCCCCACAATCAGAAAGGTCATCAGTAACCTCAGGCGGATGCCCCGGGCCTTAGCAATTAGAATGAGGATTCGGGGGATATTATACTAGAATTATCATAAGGAACCCCCACACCCTGCTCTAATCGTTGTTGCACTCTTCACAAATCCCTGCCACCCACCTGCTGTCCACGTAGAGACATTCTGGCAGCATGGCGTCAAAGGCTGAGAATCAAAGAACCATGGACTTATTGTGGCAATTGACAACGGTTCACCAGGCGCCAGTGCTTGCTCGCTAAACTTGAGATAAGTACAATCGCTGAACCAAGCAACATGGTTGAGCTAAGAGAATACACCGCATGAGCCCGACACTCCACGATGCAAGCAGTCTGTCGGGCTTTGGACCAGAGTGCCTTGTCCTGCGACAACATACTGCGACAACCCCATGAAGTTTGCACCAGCCTTGTTGCCCTGCAGGCAGCGTGGACTTCCTGCTCCTGTCCGGGTCCGATGTGTGCTTCCCTGTGTTTTGCTTGCAAAGCTTACGCCGAATCCTGCACCCCTCCTCAATTAGGCCATGCTACCCGCATTGCTGACTGTAGCTGCAGCTCATACGTTCCAAACCGAGAACATCAAGAAGCTGTGTTCACCTTTCACCTCAGTCGAAAGAGTGCGATACGCCAAAAGACAACAACAACAACAGAAGAAGATCAAACCCATCCTCACAGACAATCCTGCTAGACTTGGGGCAAGTCTATCTTCAGAATTCGAAGCATCAGCCGAATTTACATGCGTGAGTGAAGCAAAGTTTCAAAACGCTGCATTTCTCGGACATGGTACTCATGACGCCGGTGCACAGCATTACCGAGGCCTAACCGGCGACATGACTGCATTTCTCCTGGAGACTTCAGCGTCTGGTCGGCGAGCAGGCAGAACTCCGTACCGTCAGAAGCACCTAAGTATCGGACTGCCTGTGAGTCTCGCACATATTAGGCTGGCTGACTGGAATCGTGCTCGAGGCGAGATGCAGCCCTTACAGCTTCCCTACAAATTGAAAATGCATGGTAAATACCTGCTGCAACCAAATGAGATCGCATGTGCGGCAGAATCTGTCATAGATCCCACCTGTAAATGCAAAGTCCCAGAATCGTGTGGAGCAGGGGTGGTAAGGGCAGTCGTGGTAGCAAGGAGTGCATTTCTGCGACGGGTGATAGCATGGAAGTTCGGAGATCTGCGGTCATCACAGTTCCTTTTATTTTGGCGACCGGTGTTATCAGAGTTCCTTATTTTGCTTTGCTCCAAGTGCTGATGCCTCTGTCCGTTTTGAATACAACATGAAAAACATGACAGAATAGAAAGCAAAATACCAAAATATGATTCATTCTATGCTACAAGGTTTTTTGGAATACTAAAATACTACTGATATACTAGTATCACCCGCAGAACAGAATTTACTACTAAAGTATATCATGTTTCTGCCGCAGAAGCAACCGTTGCCTGGTAGAGCCAGCAGCTGTAACAGTAGTACTGGTAGCAGCTGCCAGCAGGTACGAAGTGACTGCTCCGCTTGATGGAAAGGCAGGTAGGTAGCAACATCATGCTCCCGGAGTGACCTTATACTTCTTTGTATGCTCTACTCCGAAAGCTGGAGCTGGACCTTCAGTCGAATGCAAATCTAACGGTCGTGATGAACCCAGTGGCTCCGAACTCGCGCACAAACCCCCTGAAGGTTCGAACACGTCAAGGAGACTCTTCCATTTTCGTCGCTGACTTCGAGAACTGGAGTTTGGGGCAACGGCTTGTCACGAGCTTGCCCTCGGTGCAATACGCCTCAGAACGAGTGAGGTTCGCTCGCACAAGACTGTGATGGAACGTCAGTGCAGCTTCAACGTCCACGACTTTTCGACATTCCAAGATGCATCTGCTGAACATGACCTTTTGAACGAGACTGAATGCTGGGTGCCGCTGCCATGTAGGTGGATGTCTCGGTGACCTGGCAACACATTCAGGCACTGCACCATCTCAACGCCGGAGGCATCGGAGAGCAATCGGAGGCCAGTTTGCCTAAACGCCGCATGGCTGTAACTTCTGGCCCGCGAATCTCACAAAGCTGAGAGGAAAGGCGCAGGAGAGCGATCAATCGCCTCGCTGTCTTTGCCGCAGATCTGCACACAGCCATCGCCGCCGGCCCGCACCTTTTGAAGGCAGACGGTTTCATGTCACATAAACAAATGAATGAAAGGTAACAAAGACAACGGCGACGACGACTACGACACCAACACCAACAATAATTCTCATGCCAACACCATACCAACACCAACACCAAAGCCAACTCCCGCTGCTGCTGCCACCACTACCACTACTACCACTACCACTACCACTACCACTACCACTACCACGACTACTACGACTACTACGACTACTACGACTACTACGACTACTACTACTACTACTACTACTACTACTACTACTACTACTACTACTACTACTACTACTACTACTACCACTACTACTACTACCACTACCGGTATTGGTAGCTTTACTTCCGATTTGTCGACTTCTTGTTGCCATGATTCGAGTGGCTGATTATGGGCTGAAACGAGGATTTGGAAGAATTCGGTACCTTCCTCACTTTCCTCCCTCGCGCTGAGTACTGTCCGTCTGCAAGGCTGGAGACGCAGACATACGCAGACTGCAGTATGGCCATGCCCGCTGTTGCAAACCAGCACCTATATCACTCAGCCTCGTGTACCTATCGGAGCAACCACAACACCCTTGCTCTGCCCGTAAGGCATGCACGACGCAGCCATCGCAAGATGTCAGGCAGACTGAGGCGTTGGTAATGTCAGCTTCCTCCTGGCAGGCATCGCTTGAAAATGCTAGCTGCTAGTGAGTGTGCGACCAAACCATAAGCTGCGCACTGTTGTTGCGCAGCTCATAGAAGAAAAGCGATAGTATGATCTTCATGCGCGTGCCTGCTGTTGGAACCGATCCGACTTCATTCAATGCACCTGTGGAGTTCAGTCCTTGCTCAACCGTATCGGCTTTGAAACTCAGGAACTACGACGTTTATAAGATCATTATTCCATCAACTTGCTCTCATACGTGCACTCCCAGTCCTGTATGACCACAGGCCCTGAACCCCAGACCTTGCACCGAGCGATGGTCCTCCGGTGAAACCTGTTGGAAAGATCCGCCAGATAGGAGTTGAGGAATGACCTTGGCCCCACTGGGACAGCAGGCCGTGACACGGTTTGACTTGACGTAGTATAGGCTTTGGGAACCCGGATTCCGCTGCAGCACCACGACATGTGCCATACATTTCTGACTGAACAATGACGACGCGATTCTTCCGCGAGGGCCTCGATCGTGGTCCCATCTGCACACTCCACCTGGAGTTGCAGCCCACCTGAGTACCGGCGAGGGTTTGGGGATGCTTTGAATAGGGTTCCCCCTAAATCGAACGGCTTCTTCCCAATTCTGCAAACCTTCAAAGGCTGCTTCTCTCATCACCACCTTGCCCGGCCTGCCGAACCAGGCTTGGGGATCTCGCACCTGCCCCCATGCACTTGCACGACGAGCTGCAGACCGAGCCCAACCTTACTCGTACCTAGGGAAGACTGCTTGTTGACACGAAAATCCCCGCATCCTCTGACAGCTGCAATCCTAACTATGCAGCAGTACCGTTGGAGTCATGCTACGAAAATTGCCACCTCTACTCACTACTCTTCCTCCTCCTCCTACTCCTCCTGCCCTCCTGTGGTATGTTGACAAAGATGGGAGGATTGCCTTTGCCGCGCTCAATCGAGCACACATGAACATGTGAAACGCTGACCGATGGCTCTGCTGCCGCTGGCCGATTACGGTGTCCTGTTGACTCAGTCGCTTGAAACTTTCAGGAAGCCGCGTGCGGATTGTTGCGAAAGCAACAGCGACAGGCAGAAACAGGCGCAATCGCGGTCTACTTCAGCATGTCGCGGCTACGATTGCAACAAGCATGTTGCCCGGGCCAATACGAAATGCGCTGACGGCAGAATTGCTTCTCGAACGCCTTGTGCTCGGCCACTCTGTCGTCTGATCATCGTGTGTGCGCATGTGCTAGGACTAAGTATCGATCGATACCGAGCGAAAAGTTTTGGGTGGACAAACATGCATGGGCATTCTCAGCAGTGAAGGTGCGCAGGGTTCCGGAACGTAAGAGTCTTGACGTCTCGGCTCTTTGCGGGGTGCCTTCCTTGAGGCTCGTTTTGTAAGAAGGATCTTGCTGAGGCGCCAAGGCACGCGCCATTCCGCCGTTGGAGAAGTTATTCGCTTTTGTGCTATCGCCCGTCATCTTGCGATTCAGGGCCGAAAGTATTGACCACGGAGTTTGTCCGCTTCGCGACCCTGCATCCAAGGAGGCTGCATGCTCAGCAACAGTGACGATTCCCGCAAGCCGCTACTGATGGCTCAGCGCATCACGGCGGTTTTCCTGCAGTGGCCTCTGAAATCACCTCGGGACCCTTCAACAACTGAATCATCATGAAGAACTGCATGAAGCAGCCACTGCAGCCGATTGCTCAACACCTCCCTTTACACTTGCACTGCTCGGACGGAAGATCTGCGATGTCTTGCAAACGGTAGTCGGAGTGTAAAATCAGAACCTATATGTCACTCGACTAATGGTCTGACGGGAGGCCAAAAGGAGGGTTTAAGATTCTTGGGGTAGGGATTCCTTAATATGAACCCTATTTTGGGAACCCTAATCCCTTCTGAACCCCCCTTTGATGGTCGGAGCCCAGCCTCACCAACGGCATGCCCTCATTGACGATCTCCAGCTCTGCGCCATACCTTTGTAGCGCAAGGGTATGCCAGGGTCAAGTGCAGTGACCTCATGCAAGATGGGTCTTGACAGTCGGATGAACAATTTCATAGGAGCGAAAATGCGGTCGCAGTTACAAAGCCGGCTGACTTGTCTATCAATTTCTTGTCAATGGATTCTTCACGCGTTTTCGGAGCCATACGGTATGTTATTTGACCGAAAACGACGCATAGACCCAACTGAGCCCTCTGTCCTACGATATGGACGGACACGAATCTAAGGCCGCAAGCTCCTTGGATGTCCTCGTGATGCGGCTGCCGTCAGGGTACACGCACACCTGACTGAAGGAAATTCGAGGAGTCCAGAATCGTACTCCCCAATGCCACAACATGCAGTGCATATGCGCATATATACGTACACAAATACATGACATGAATACATACATATATACGGATGTATGCACTCTACAATCCAACCCATTAGTCATTAGCCTAACGGGTGCGATCAGTTAAAGCACGTCAAAAAGTGAAACCCACTCATGCACGCGGTGTTATCTTGCCTTGGACATTATATATTCGATCGTTTACGTTCTGTGCTTTGGCATCTTTGGGTGTTGCGTTTTCTGCCTCAGGCTGTCGCAGACTTCGGATCAACGAAGGTTAGAACCCAAAACGACGGTAAAGTACGGCAGCAGCTGCCATCATACACGGACTGGTGTGCCCGTCCCTTTTTCTGAAGTCTAGTTGTGGCGTTCAGTCTCACAGGCTCGATTCTAAAGCTTCGTCGCAACAGGGCCAGTCCCCACACGACTAAGAGACACATGGTGCTAAATCAGCGATCAGAACAGATGTGGGTGCGCGATTGGGTTGTTGCATTGGTGCTCGTAGTCTGGAAGTGGCAGTCAAATGAGTGGATGTCATGGTTCTGCTGTTGGTTTCACGCTGTTTTCGCGGCGTTCCCACTCCCTGTGCTTTGCCTGCTTTGATGCGAAGCTTGAAGAATTCCTTTTATTCCGTGCACTGGCTTGCAGGTATCGTGGCCTGTTGACATTAAGTGCTTAATTTTTGCCGGCACCCTGACTAACAATAAGAATGCCAGCTGGGTTGTCGACCAGAAAGGATGAGGCAGGAGTTCAACAAAACTACGCACGTTGCAATTACACTAATTTTTCACTAATTAACTATGTCTTTGTTGCAGGCTCTCGGCCTATCCCCGTGCATGTGACATGTGCGATCCCTCTTCCCCTGCAACAGCTGCTTAGCTGTTTACCAGACAACACAGCACCGATGTCCACGCCACTGCGCCACCGCCAACTGTTCTTGGCAACATCAGCATATCTGCTACATCTTAGAAAACACGAGCCCGCCAGTCAAATGGGTGCGTGAACTCGCAGGGTATTATGCGTGTGTGTATCTATATAAACATATAAGTACATTTATACAAGTATACGAATAAAAAACATAAATATATGCACACATCGACCAATCTGACTGTCTGTCTATCCATACTTACATGCATAAGGATGTCTGACCGAGACTCCCAAGTGCCGAAATGGAGTTTCGTGTGAACTGTTTTTATAAAATAAGTCATGGGCACCATCATCACTCGAACAGGGTTTTAGGACTACGGGTGAAATCCGCAGTCGCAGTAGCTAATACAGGGGCCTTAATTTTGGGGACCATTATACTACCATTAGAATAAGGAGCCCCCAAAATACTGGAGGGTAATTAATGGTAATTATTTAGGCCCCTATAGTACACTCTGCACCCGTCGCTTCGTTCAAGAACTCGTTTTGCTCCACGCATCTGCTGAAAACTAGCTCTGACAGCTCCAGCTGTAGACTTCTGTCTGTGGCTGAGGCCAGCGCTGTGGAGCCGTCGGACACAGATGCAACGACGGCTCTCTAATGTGAAACTGGTATTCTACTGGGATGGACGAGCGATCCATCCGGCCGCTGCAACTGCTGAACTCAATCAACAGTCGTATAGTGGAGGGTCCAATTGCGAGAGCAACATCAAGCCTCCCTAACGACGATAAACCCCGAATTAAAAGCCTACGCTTGATGTGCTGGTCTGGAAATCCTAAACTCCTAAACGGATCAGCAGCTCACTGTCGTAGCAATCGCGCGCATGCGGTGCAGCCTGGTTCCGCTGCTGAGCGTTCAGCCTATGTCCACTTCACATTGTGTATGTAGCATGCAGTAGTAGGGGATATCTTCGCTACTTCGCTGCAGGCTGACAGCTCCTGGTCCAGTCATGACTCAGAACCTATGTCGCCCTTAGTCCCTCAAAAGGGATGGCCCAACGGGCAACCTATGCAATGGATTTTCTCTGCAAGTTGAACTCAACAAACCACTTCACTTAGTGAGAACTGCTCGAGGTGAGCCCCTACGATTATTGTTTTCGCATCGGCTTCATTTGCGAGAACCCTGCTTGGATGTCAAGAAGCTCCAAATCCTGCAGCCAGCCTGGTCTCACAGGGGCACCCGAAGCGACAAGCCACGGCGCGGCTCTATGATGCCGCCGCCCTGTCATGGGATTGCGCCATGTGGAAGGAGTTTCTGCAATGCCGGTGTTGAATCATCGTTTCTATCGCTGTAGCTAATTAGTCTGCCTGTTGCGCAGGTGGCATGCGGAGGGTGTGTAAGTTTATGGTGCTGCCGCTGCCCAAGCGTGTTGATAGCCTGCGAGTGAAGTACGAAGGTGTCCAGGACCGCCGGCAATACGACGACTGTTACAATATTCTAGCTGTTGCATAAGCTTTTCGCAGTTATAGTTTATAATCTAGGGTACTAGTATGTACAAGTGCTATGGCTGGTGGGTGCTACTGCAAGAGTACTCACTGCTAGTCCTGAAGTCGTTGCTATGATACCTTTGGGTGGTCATGACTGCCCGATAATGGCCTCATTGCTGGATGATTCCTTTGGCCAGTGCTCCTCCGAATCTGCAGAAGCACAGGCTAGGGGCCCCTACCTCTGGCCGTCGCTGCTCCAAGACGTGTACAGGCCGGACGACCGGCCAAGCAACTGTGGAGCCTGCAGGGCACCGCAGGTCACCCACTGCTTAGGCTCGGAAGAAACAAGCCTAGCTCTAGTTGTCTGCCTCAGCTACCAGATGGCGATTGTTGATAGGGCGCATCGTGGATGGGCGATCACACGACTGCTAAAGTTCAAGCTTTTTGGATTCTCGTATTTTCACGAAGTCTTGTGCAAGCATTGGTACAGATAGCCGAAGAAACCCAATAGAACAATGATGTCAACCAGCCGCTTGGCTTACGACTTCAGCAGGTCAAACGGCAAACTTGAGGAAATGAGAACCACGGCTTGCACAGCAGCAGTCCAAATATAGCAGCATCGGCCTGAGGGCGCTTTCGCATCCTTGGCGATGGCCTGAGGGCTTGATAGATGTTTTGGGGACTGAGTGCAGCTCTTGCACCTTTGCATAACAAGCATACAAGTCACAAGTAAGTACAAGAATGATGCTGGCGGCACTAGTACAACCATCGTTTCATGCTAGCTGCAAGAAGCCCCCTCCGCAGCCCATGAAGTGTTCGGACATACGGAGCTTGAGGTTCCACAGCGTCTCAAGAGAAATGATTTGCTGTTGTAGTAGACTAAACGCTTTTGGTGGCAGTACCTATACTAGTAGCTGCTGATCAACGCCCAGCCAGCACCTCTGCACTAAAGCCTGACGGTCTACAGCGTGAAGGCCGTAAGCTCTCACCCTTGCATAAGCATGGAAGCCCTTAAGTCTCGCATGTAAACTTAAACTCACAAGCGTGAAGACGTCCAAGAGGCTTCAGGGACACCAAGGTGATAGGGTTGGCGCCTGGCTGACGCTTCTAGGGCTGCGGGAAATTATCATTGGGGCTTTTTGGCTTCTTATTGTCTGTGGCTTCGGAGTTTTCGGGCTCTTCTTGCTTTGCGACATGTGTACGGCCAGGGGTTCGGGCTGCCAGGACGGTGTCCTCGGTTCGGGCGCGCAGGTGAGACCAAGGGTGGGTCTTCAAGTCTCAAAGGGCTCAGGATGGTCTTTGAATATGTTTGACCATCCTGAGCCCTCGATTCTCAGGTTCATGGCCCAAGGGCAAGAGCAGACATGGCCCATGGCAGCCTCTCGCGATCACCGGCCAGAACCATAAACTCGTGATCTGCCTGCAGTGAACGCCGATCACGCAATCTGCAAAGGGTGACTAAGCTGCTGCGACTTGTCTCGGGCCTCGCCCTTGTGTGGCACATAGTACAACTGGATCTGCAGGGGCTCGCGGCACTCGGAACAAACCTTGGCCGAATAGCTCCCAAAATATTTCATAGGCAATCCAAGAGCACAAGCAGGCTCTGGTCTGCTCTGGGGCCGGGTCTGTGGAGACGGTGCCCATTCCTGAGACGTCTCAGGGTCTCAGTCTCAGACATAGTCTGCATCCTACGTGTACCCTTTTGTTGCATCGGCTGCACCACGGCTGAGTTCTTTGTACTCCCAGCCTCTAAGGCTACTTCAGTCGAGAAGAACGTGAGTGAATCTGTGAGCCTTGCAACCTTAGCTGTCCTGCCCCCCCGTACCAGCAGCTTCGATGTCTCGATTCCACTTATATCTCCAGGAACTTCATAATCTTAGTCGAGTTCGATTGAGTATAAACAATGTGCGTGCACCGGTGTAGACATTTACATATGCATATATATATATATATATATATATATATTTGTAGATACACACGCACCAAACTTTCTACAGGTCGAATACAACATGCAACACGTTATGGCAGAACCCAGTGGAATTAGGGAGGTGGATGCTGGCAAGCGTCAGCAAACGCTTTGGTACTGCTCCAGGCACATCGCTCCGAACGTCCCCAGTGCAAACAAAGGCCCGGGGTTTCAAAATCTAGGGTCTTCTGTGGGCATTCGGGCTTATGGTCGTTTCCTGCCGAAACTTGTTGAAAAGGCCGCGCTTAATTAGAACTTATCATAGTAGGCTGCACACCTAATTCGGTCGAAAGCCGCACTTCGAGCCAATTGCCGAAGCGGCATGAAGTAGGAGAGCGGCAGTGACACCTACCTGCCTGTCTGCCTGCCTGCCGAGATGCCGGCAAGGATACATGTATGCACTTGCACGTGTATCTGCAAAGATTATTACATGTATGTATATAACGTACATGTACATGTACATGCAAGATGTGTATGTGAGGTCAAAAAAGGCAGAGAGAGAGAGAGCAAGAAAGAGAGAGAGAGAGAGAGAGAGAGAGAGAGAGAGAGAGAGAGGGAGATAGTGTTAAGCGATATGCGAGTGATCCAAATTTGCGCTGTTTCGCATTAGCGTGCAAGTACAGCGGTACGCGTATGCGCAACATTTATACCCATGCACACATACATGCACAGACCTACGTACAAGTACATGAATAAATTACAGTGCATTATATTACTTTACAATCTTACACACATATGTGCACACGTACATACATACATACATGCATACATACATACATTGACATACATGTTTCCCAAAGGCCCCCCGTGCATCCAGCACTGATCCACCGAAGAATGCTCGGCTGTCCCTAAAACCATTGCCAGGCCTTCTGCACACCTGGACGGACAGGGAAAAGAGAGAAGAATCAACATCCTGCTCAGAATAGACATAACATGGCCTTGCCCAAGTACCCTGGCTTATGGGAACCACGCATGGTCTGCTCCAGTCTGCTCAAACAAATGAACGATGTAGGTATCTGTCGATCCACAGCGAGGTACACATGCCTTTGCGTGGAAACACTACAGCACCCAAAGATTTGGGGTGCATAAACTATTGGGATATACGAGTTTAGGGGTTAAGGCCTTGGAAAGCACTCTAAGAGGTGATTCGCAGGTGCTGAAGCCCTCGAAGAGACACGGAGAGACAATACGCCCAGTTTAAAGCCAAATTGCCTGGGGTTTAGGGTTTAGTATAGGGGCCTTAGCCCTTAACAATTATCATAGGGTTTGGGGGTATTTTATGCTAGTGAGTTATAATAAGGAACCCCCAAAGAAACACACACAGTATAGGTAATTATCAAGGCCCCTATATTAAGGGTCCTGAAAGCCTGCAGGCGAGAGAAGGACCAAACAGCACAGCCCTTCACCTGAAACGATGAAGAAAGGTCGCGTTTCTCCCGGAAACCGCAAGCTCTGCAAGCCTTGGTACTTAAAGGCTCATGGGTAGTTATAAGTTAGAAACCAGAATTACAACCCATAATAGGGGAGTTATAACTCCACTTGTAACTACCCATGAACCTCTAAGTAGTCTTCCAGAAAAGCTTCGGCCCGGAAGCTAGAAGCTTGACGTCGGCTAAGCCTCTCAATGGTGGCACCAAGCACTATACCGTTTAGGGTTTAGGGTTTAGGGTGCATCTAGCTCTGGTCTATCAGAGCATCCCCTAGTCTGGTCGCAACTGGCACCATCGAATCCTATGAACCCTGAACCCTAGTATGGACTTTCGAAAGGCTTGCCTCCCGGTAGGCGGTGGCCTATTTTGCCGGATCTTACGGCCAGGCACTTGGATACGTGGGAATCCCAAACCTTCTGCTTTTGGGTTTAGGGCTAAACACCCCAAGCCACATGCCCAAACTCAAATCACTAAAACCCAAACCCTGAAGGTCTAAAACCCTGCAAAAACCTGAAGCCCCTCAACCCGACAACCTTAAAAACCCCCCCAAACCCCTAAAGCCCTGAAGCCCAAAGCCTGCAACCCTAAATCCCTGAAGCCCAAAACACTGCGACTACAGACTTATAGCCTTACAGCTTAAAAGCCTAAAGCCTTCTAAACTTACCGGGCGCCTTCGGGATCCTCGAAGGAAGCGAAACCACGGGAGTTGGTGAGGGCCTTGTGCCGGGTGTAGAGGTCCACCTCTCCGGTTGAGATTTCTGAGGGCTTGCGTCCAGGGTTTTCGAGTTGTAAGGTTCGGGCATGTAGGGTTGAGGTATTGAATTTGGGTTCTGAATTTGTGGGACTATCGGGTTAGGGTCTAAGCGCAGACTCGTGAAGAGTCTGGCAGAAACAATGGGTTCAGAGGATTCGGGGTTGCGGGCGTAGAGATTTACGATCCGGGAGGCCTTCGAATTGAGAGATTACGGCCGCAGCATGTAAGGTATGGGTGTTGTATGACCTGCACTCATGGGAGGTGGCAGTTGTCTTTCAGAGTCTTTCATGTCATGGCAATCTCCGGTGTCTACTACTTTCGGAGACTGGCTGGGAGTGGGGAAAAGCTTTGGAACAACTCAGCAGGCATTTCACTGTGAATTTCACTCATGACGCAGGCAATGATGGCAACGGCAACGGTGATGGCAATGGTGATCGCAATGGTGACGGTGATGATGGTGATGGTGGTGATGATGTTGCTGGTTTGCGCGCATGCTTTGCCTAACGCTTTCAGTCTTGCAACATCCCTGCGAAGGGCTTTCTAACTGGGAACAGTGAGTGCTGATGCTCCTGGGGCATCTGGAGCTGTTTTACTCTTGTGCTTCTAGGTGCATGGCCCTGTGGCGTTACGAGAAGTCTGACCATTTGATGCGGTCGGGGCTGTGTCTTTGAAGAGCCCAGGATGGGTCAGGGCCGGACGCTTTCCTAGGAATGGCCTCCCACTTAGGGGAGATCGCGCCCGGAAGCGCGTTTAGCCATTCCAAGTGTGCGACTCTGGACGTGGCCCTGGCCCCAAAATCACAACTGAGAGAACTCGCGCCTGTGTCTTTCCAAGGCACGAGAGGAGGCATGCACGTTTCTCTGTCTATACACTGAGAAAAGCAAAAGCCAAACTATGCTTGCATGCGAACTGAATTAAGCCACTCAGAAAGACATAAGTCTTGTGCGAAGGGCATTCTGCACTTTCATAAGCCATGCACGGCCCGAGCATCCAACGTAGGTTCCATCACTGCTGGCTCTGAGGCGCAGCGGGCATGCTGGCCTCGGCAGAGACTGCTTGAGTTTTCTTCATACTACGCAAGGTCTGGGTGGGCCAGTGCCACTCGCGTAGGCCAAGCTGCACGGCTCGACTGCCGGTACAGGTTGTCGAAGTCGGCCTCCACCTCAGGAACGTGCAGACTATGGCTCCATGAATGCGCCCTCGACACACCCTTCGCCATGGAGACCAGACCTCATGCAAAGCATCGATCATGTGGCCCATCTCTTCGTCCAAGTCTGCCACCTAAGCGTCATGAAGAGTGCACCGCGTGCTAGCCACTCCGTCACTCTGCTAGGCTGCCGTTTCTAGCGGCAATCTGCCGCTCATCCTGCGCCCTGGTCTTGCCAAGTTGCAAGGGTAGCGTCGCCCTTGCCGTTTTCGAGATCATGAAGGCGGCTTCCCATGTGGGCCAAGGCGCTCTGCGCCTCCTGGAGGTCAGCCGAGAAGCGCTCCTGCTTTCACAACTTCAAGTCGCAACCACGGAATGCCACGGTCGCCGTGCAAAGCTGAGCGAACCAAAAAGGATTCTGCAAACGTCGACCCTCCCGAAACACGGCAAGAGCCGTCACTGTCGAGGAAGGAATACTACCTATAGTACCTACACGTATGGCAAGCATGGAAAGAGGTGCCAAACATGCAAAGGCAATGCGCCTGCTCCAGTTTTTTGATGTAGTCCTTCAAGATCTGGCGGAAGGCCATGTAGGTCAAGCCCATACTGCCTGTGACGAAAGCCGGGACTAGAAGCGCCCTGGGCCCCTGCACGAAGTTTTCCACGTAGATCCCAATGAGCCCACCGAACAGGAAGAACGTCCACAGCCCGAACAGCACTGTCAGCTTCTGTGCATCCACCCCGATCTCTGCACGCTCGATGTCGGTCAGTTGGCTACACCGGCAGGCTCTCCTCAAGTAGATCATGCTGATGCGCCCCATGGTCGATCCGATGTCGGTCATGGTGCCAGTGACCTGACGCGAGAGTGCATGAGCTGTCATACGTCTCACAGCGCTGCTGGCTTCGCCTCCCCTCACATGCTAGATCATACTTTACTAGCCCAGTAGCGTGTGTCGTGCGGATGATGGCTCCGAAGTGAGACGTGCACATAGCATTCTGCAGGCCGCACGCGGCGGCCACGAGGCAAGCCGGGAGCAAGCGACCCTGCACGAAGGCCGCCGACACCAACAGGGCCGAGTTCAAAACTAGGGCCAAGCCGTAGAAAGCTTTCCTGGTTCCAGGATTGCAAGTTGTCAGTCCCTATATAGGTTTACACTCGGCAATCAAAGAGAAACGGAAGCTGTGAGGCCAGTCTTGAGGCACGCTTCCCCAGGAAGTGCACTTGATTCTTGTCAATGAGAACTCCGCAGGTGTATGCCCCAACCAGGAAAGAGAAGACCAGCGAGCATGCTTCCGCCAAGGTCTCGGAACCATACTCACCCTGCTGGTAGCCCTCCAGTCGGAAGGCAATGTTCGAGGTGCTTCCGGTAACGTGCGAGGCATACAGACTCCAGGACTTGTAAGCAATGACATTGGCCGCACCCGCACATGCGGCCAAACACCAGCCGAAACCCATGACCCAAAACTTTGGCCGCTGGAAGCTCTTCCGGATGGCCGCAGCCTTCCTTGGATTCACTCGGCTTTGCACGGAACTTATGCTACAGTAGCCGCCGTAGAGCGTTGTTATGCTATTTCTAGAGTGTCGCAGGCTACGCGTTTTCGTGGTCGAGCCTCTCCCGGATGATCCTGGTGGAGCTAGACCTGGAAAGGCGAGATGGGGAGAAGGGCATCTTCTCCACCGTGGCCTGCGGGAGGGTCTGCGGGATGGTCTGCGTCATGGCTGGAAGATGGGCGTCTAGACAATCTCTGACGTGGCTTTACAGGGATGCTTGAGAGGCAGGAAGACCAAAGCTGCGATGGAATGCTGGTTGGCATGCAAAGCCCTCGACACACACGAACATGCTACGATCCCACAGTAACTCAGCAGGACGCAACCGAAGGGCTGAACTCTGCCGCACACCGGCTTGTACTCGCTTCCATTCTTGTCGTACTCTAAGTGCTTGGACCCTATTTCCGACCGTGCTTCTCATCTATTGTCTGAATTGTCTGAATATATATGTGGCAGAAGCCGGATTCAGCTTCGGATTGCGCATTTTCGGGTGCAATGGAGCCCGGGACCACAAAGCCAAGGGCACGTCAGAGAACATAATGGGGCCTGGCACAATCGCGGTTTTACTCTTTGTGCTTCTAGATGCATCGAACTTACAAGAAGTCTGACCATTTGTCGTGGTCGGGGCTGTGTCTTTGAAGAGCCCAGGATGGGTCAGGGCCGGACGCTTTCCTAGGAATGGCCTCCCACTTAGGGGAGCTCGCGCCCGGAGGCGCGTTTCGCCATTCCAAGTGTGCGACGCTGGACGTGGCCCTGGCCCCAAAATCACAACTGAGAGAACTCGTGCCTGTGTCTTTCCAAGGCACGAGAGGAGGCATGCACGTTTCTCTGTCTATACACTGAGAAAAGCAAAAGCCAAACTATGCTTGCATGCGAACTGAATTAAGCCACTCAGAAAGACATAAGTCTTGTGCGAAGGGCATTCTGCACTTTCATAAGCCATGCACGGCCCGAGCATCCAACGTAGGTTCCATCACTGCTGGCTCTGAGGCGCAGCGGGCATGCTGGCCTCGGCAGAGACTGCTTGAGTTTTCTTCATACTACGCAAGGTCTGGGTGGGCCAGTGCCACTCGCGTAGGCCAAGCTGCACGGCTCGACTGCCGGTACAGGTTGTCGAAGTCGGCCTCCACCTCAGGAACGTGCAGACTATGGCTCCATGAATGCGCCCTCGACACACCCTTCGCCATGGAGACCGGACCTCATGCAAAGCATCGATCATGTGGCCCATCTCTTCGTCCAAGTCTGCCACCTAAGCGTCATGAAGAGTGCACCGCGTGCTAGCCACTCCGTCACTCTGCTAGGCTGCCGTTTCTAGCGGCAGTCTGCCGCTCATCCTGCGCCCTGGTCTTGCCAAGTTGCAAGGGTAGCGTCGCCCTTGCCGTTTTCGAGATCATGAAGGCGGCTTCCCATGTGGGCCAAGGCGCTCTGCGCCTCCTGGAGGTCAGCCGAGAAGCGCTCCTGCATTCACAACTTCAAGTCGCAACCACGGAATGCCACGGTCGCCGTGCAAAGCTGCAGCGAACCAAAAAGGATTCTGCAAACGTCGACCCTCCCGAAACACGGCAAGAGCCGTCACTGTCGAGGAAGGAATACTACCTATAGTACCTACACGTATGGCAAGCATGGAAAGAGGTGCCAAACATGCAAAGGCAATGCGCCTGCTCCAGTTTTTTGATGTAGTCCTTCAAGATCTGGCGGAAGGCCATGTAGGTCAAGCCCATACTGCCTGTGACGAAAGCCGGGACTAGAAGCGCCCTGGGCCCCTGCACGAAGTTTTCCGCGTAGATCCCAATGAGCCCACCGAACAGGAAGAACGTCCACAGCCCGAACAGCACTGTCAGCTTCTGTGCATCCACCCCGATCTCTGCACGCTCGATGTCGGTCAATTGGCTACACCGGCAGGCTCTCCTCAAGTAGATCATGCTGATGCGCCCCATGGTCGATCCGATGTCGGTCATGGTGCCAGTGACCTGACGCGAGAGTGCATGAGCTGTCATACGTCTCACAGCGCTGCTGGCTTCGCCTCCCCTCACACATGCTAGATCATACTGTACTAGCCCAGTAGCGTGTGTCGTGCGGATGATGGCTCCGAAGTGAGACGTGCACATAGCATTCTGCAGGCCACACGCGGCGGCCACGAGGCAAGCGGGGAGCAAGCGACCCTGCACGAAGGCCGCCGACACCAACAGGGCCGAGTTCAAAACTAGGGCCAAGCCGTAGAAAGCTTTCCTGGTTCCAGGATTGCAAGTTGTCAGTCCCTATATAGATTTACACTCGGCAATGAAAGAGAAACGGAAGCTGTGAGGCCAGTCTTGAGGCACGCTTCCCCAGGAAGTGCACTTGATTCTTGTCGATGAGAATTCCGCAGGTGTATGCCCCAACCAGGAAAGAGAAGACCAGCGAGCATGCTTCCGCCAAGGTCTCGGAACCATACTCACCCTGCTGGTAGCCCTCCAGTCGGAAGGCAATGTTCGAGGTGCTTCCGGTAACGTGCGAGGCATACAGACTCCAGGACTTGTAAGCAATGACATTGGCCGCACCCGCACATGCGGCCAAACACCAGCCGAAACCCATGACCCAAAACTTTGGCCGCTGGAAGCTCTTCCGGATGGCCGCAGCCTTCCTTGGATTCACTCGGCTTTGCACGGAACTTATGCTACAGTAGCCGCCGTAGAGCGTTGTTATGCTATTTCTAGAGTGTCGCAGGCTACGCGTTTTCGTGGTCGAGCCTCTCCCGGATGATCCTGGTGGAGCTAGACCTGGAAAGGCGAGATGGGGAGAAGGGCATCTTCTCCACCGTGGCCTGCGGGAGGGTCTGCGGGATCGTCTGCGTCATGGCTGGAAGATGGGCGTCTAGACAATCTCTGACGTGGCTTTACAGGGATGCTTGAGAGGCAGGAAGACCAAAGCTGCGATGGAATGCTGGTTGGCATGCAAAGCCCTCGACACACGCGAACATGCTACGATCCCACAGTAACTCAGCAGGACGCAACCGAAGGGCTGAACTCTGCCGTACACCGGCTTGTACTCGCTTCCATTCTTGTCGTACTCTAAGTGCTTGGACCCTATTTCCGACCGTGCTTCTCATCTATTGTCTGAATTGTCTGAATATATATGTGGCAGAAGCCGGATTCAGCTTCGGATTGCGCATTTTCGGGTGCAATGGAGCCCGGGACCACAAAGCCAAGGGCACGTCAGAGAACATAATGGAGCCTGGCACAATCGCGGTTTTACTCTTTGTGCTTCTAGATGCATCGAACTTACAAGAAGTCTGACCATTTGTCGTGGTCGGGGCTGTGTCTTTGAAGAGCCCAGGATGGGTCAGGGCCGGACGCTTTCCTAGGAATGGCCTCCCACTTAGGGGAGCTCGCGCCCGGAGGCGCGTTTCGCCATTCCAAGTGTGCGACTCTGGACGTGGCCCTGGCCCCAAAATCACAACTGAGAGAACTCGCGCCTGTGTCTTTCCAAGGCACGAGAGGAGGCATGCACGTTTCTCTGTCTATACACTGAGAAAAGCAAAAGCCAAACTATGCTTGCATGCGAACTGAATTAAGCCACTCAGAAAGACATAAGTCTTGTGCGAAGGGCATTCTGCAATTTCATAAACCATGCACGGCCCGAGCATCCAACGTCGGTTCGATCACTGCTGGCTCTGAGGCGCAGCGGGCATGCTGGCCTCGGCAGAGACTGCTTGAGTTTTCTTCATACTACGCAAAGGTCTGGGTGGGCCAGTGCCACTCGCGTAGGCCAAGCTGCACGGCTCGACTGCCGGTACAGGTTGTCGAAGTCGGCCTCCACCTCAGGAACGTGCAGACTATGGCTCCATGAATGCGCCCTCGACACACCCTTCGCCATGGAGACCGGACCTCATGCAAAGCATCGATCATGTGGCCCATCTCTTCGTCCAAGTCTGCCACCTAAGCGTCATGAAGAGTGCACCGCGTGCTAGCCACTCTGTCACTCTGCTAGGCTGCCGTTTCTAGCTGCAATCTGCCGCTCATCCTGCGCCCTGGTCTTGCCAAGTTGCAAGGGTAGCGTCGCCCTTGCCGTTTTCGAGATCATGAAGGCGGCTTCCCATGTGGGCCAAGGCGCTCTGCGCCTCCTGGAGGTCAGCCGAGAAGCGCTCCTGCATTCACAACTTCAAGTCGCAACCACGGAATGCCACGGTCGCCGTGCAAAGCTGCAGCGAACCAAAAAGGATTCTGCAAACGTCGACCCTCCCGAAACACGGCAAGAGCCGTCACTGTCGAGGAAGGAATACTACCTATAGTACCTACACGTATGGCAAGCATGGAAAGAGGTGCCAAACATGCAAAGGCAATGCGCCTGCTCCAGTTTTTTGATGTAGTCCTTCAAGATCTGGCGGAAGGCCATGTAGGTCAAGCCCATACTGCCTGTGACGAAAGCCGGGACTAGAAGCGCCCTGGGCCCCTGCACGAAGTTTTCCGCGTAGATCCCAATGAGCCCACCGAACAGGAAGAACGTCCACAGCCCGAACAGCACTGTCAGCTTCTGTGCATCCACCCCGATCTCTGCACGCTCGATGTCGGTCAATTGGCTACACCGGCAGGCTCTTCTCAAGTAGATCATGCTAATGCGCCCCATGGTCGATCCGATGTCAGTCATGGTGCCAGTCGCCTAGCGCGAGAGTGCATGAGCTGTCATACTTCTCACAGCACTGCTGGCGTCGCCGCCCCTCACATGCTAGGTCATACTTTACTAGCCCAGTAGCGTGTGTCGTGCGGATGATGGCTCCGAAGTGAGACGTGCACATAGCATTCTGCAGGCCGCACGCGGCGGCCACGAGGCAAGCGGGGAGCAAGCGACCCTGCACGAAGGCCGCCGACACCAACAGGGCCGAGTTCAAAACTAGGGCCAAGCCGTAGAAAGCTTTCCTGGCTCCAGGATTGCAAGTTGTCAGTCCCTATAATATAGATTTACACTCGGCAATGAAAGAGAAACGGAAGCTGTGAGGCCAGTCTTGAGGCACGCTTCCCCAGGAAGTGCACTTGATTCTTGTCGATGAGAATTCCGCAAGTGTATGCCCCAACCAGGAAAGAGAAGACCAGCGAGCATGCTTCCGCCAAGGTCTCGGAACCATACTCACCCTGCTGGTAGCCCTCCAGTCGGAAGGCAATGTTCGAGGTGCTTCCGGTAACGTGCGAGGCATACAGACTCCAGGACTTGTAAGCAATGACATTGGCCGCACCCGCACATGCGGCCAAACACCACAGCCGAAACCCATGACCCAAAACTTTGGCCGCTGGAAGCTCTTCCGGATGGCCGCAGCCTTCCTTGGATGCACTAGGCTTTGCACGGAACTTATGCTACAGTAGCCGCCGTAGAGCGTTGCTATGCTATTTCTAGAGTACTAGAGTGTCTCTGAGGCCCTGCCGCTACGCGTTTTCGTGGTCGAGCCTCTCCCGGATGATCCTGGTGGAGCTAGACCTAGAAAGGCGAGATGGGGAGAAGGGCATCTTCTCCACCGTGGCCTGCGGGAGGGTCTGCGGGATCGTCTGCGTCATGGCTGGAAGATGGGCGTCTAGACAATCTCTGACGCGACTTTACAGGGATGCTTGAGAGGCAGGAAAACCAAAGCTGCGATGGAACCATCTTCGGAGCGCAGTGCTCGGACGATGGCACAAACTTCGACAAGAGATGGTCGACCCAGACTGGCGGACAGCACAAGAGCATATGCCTGCAAAGCTGTGGCAACCGGATCGAGCTCATATTCGAAGCCGCCCGACTCCAGGGGGTATGCTTGCAGGAGATCCTGCCGAAGTGGCTGTGAGAAGGCTAGAAAGACAAAGTCGGCTTCGTGCTTTGTCGTCCAGGTTGCGATCGTCGTCCAGCTGGCAGTGTTCGAGATAGTAGTATAAACGTCTTCTACTACGTTTCGCCGCTGGCAAATCCTGTCCTTCATGCTCGGAGGTGGCTCTTCTGCTGGCCTTCGAAGGCAGGTGCAAGACATTCTGACAAAGTGCACGTGAGGGAATACAGTGGCTACCTACACCCTTCTGTAAGGCCTAGCAGACCCTTTCAAGTCATGCTACACCGTTGTAACAAGGAGTCGAGTATGTGACACCGCTACAATGAGTTGCCAGCAGTTGTCAGTGCGTACACTGCTGTAAGCAAAGGAGTGACACTGCATGTTGCTTCCCTGGGATGTCGTCATCCTTCTTTGGCCTATGCCAATGGGAAGATCCCGAGAATAGTCATCAGTGTGAACAGTGTGGACAACAATCATCAGTGTGAATAGTGTGGACACCGAGCATGACCCTGTCTGACTTGCTTGGGGCGTGGCGGCTCCTCACCCTCCGGAACAGGAGATTCTGCGGCCTGCTCAATGATAAATTTACGAGACCCCAGTAGTTTCGAGGATTTCGGCTTAAAGAGCTTTGGAAAATTCCAGGCCGCAACCGTGTGTGTATGCTGCTTGCACTCAGTTCACCATCTGTCAGCCCCGAAGGCGAGTGCAAGTATCGGCGACACCGCTTAGTACGTCCGACTGCTTACAGTATAAAACATCATATTGCTTATGCCACCTTGTATTGAACTTCATTGTCTGCAGATAACAGGTTGACGTATCATACTGCAATATTGTTCTACCATATCAGTGGAATAGTTTGCTGTTGTACGCTATTGGAACCTTGTAATACTGTTATGTGAGTTATATGTTTATATTACTCGTTTACTACATGATTGCATAGTGCTCCATCTGGATACAGTAATACACCTATATATCATGACATCGCTACGCTGGTAATTACATTGTTTCATTTAACTAGTACCTTGCATTTTTACAATGCACTACTCATGTTTCCAGTTTTATGTTGTTCTTCGGTTTTGGTACTGTGTCTGTTCGCCACTGTACCATATTATTGTATGTCGGTTGTAGAACTGCACTATCCTGGTATGTGGTGTGTATATATATATGTATATATGTATACATGTATACATATATATATATATATATATATTTATAATTATGTTCTGATATTTTTCAACTATAAGGTATTACATTCTATGACACTATGTCCTGCTATATGCTATTGGTTTGTATTGTAGCATGTTACATTTTAGCACGGTCTTTTGGATTTTAACACCTTGCTTCACATTCTTCGTTATACATATCTACCGGCACTTCATATTTTATTGCATGGTTTAGGCTACAGTACATGGGCTTGTACTAGATGGTATCTCACATTACAGTCTCGTATATCGTATACTGTATTTCTGATAGTATATTGTGGCATACTGTAGTGTATTGTATTATCCTGTCTTACATCATGCTGTATTGTATTTGTCTTACAATGCACCAGGTGATTTGCTTATTCCATGCTGTACTCTGCTGCAATGTAGCATATCACATCAGACTTACTTTTCATCTCAGATTTCAAGTCATACCCTAAATCGGTTACGTTAACTTACATTACATAACTCTGTAAGTCTGTAACGGTACAGGATGTATCTAAACTACACATTACAACTTTTGCAGATAGATAGACTGGTAGACAGACAGACGGATAGAAGGACAGGCACTGTGTTGGCTGCTGGGCCTCCACTGGTTCTTCGGCAAAGCGGCCGAAGACACGGCCGTCCGCATGCAGGGTGATCTGCGTGCCAAGTTTCACGAAATCTCTGCCACCCTCTGCTACGATGTCGGCAACGTTCGAGTCTAAGCTTGCATCTCGCATCATCAAGCTCAGCAGAAGCTTCTACCACTACTCCATACCCGTTTCGATAAGGACTCCACCACCGAGCAACACAGAGCTCGAAAGCGAGGAAGGAAGCAATGAAGGCCCGAGGCCAAGACCCAATGACCTGGCAAACCAGCTGCCAGTGCAGCGCTGCTCCTTGGGGGCCCCCAAGTGACTGTCGGGTTTCGACCATTCTTCGATTTCTATGGCCACTGGTCTGAGCTTGTCGCTCTGGTCCAGGCTTATGCTTGCAGAATCTTACAGCGCTGGCATGAGGCTTTGATCGATAGCAAAAGCTCAGCCTGGGTTAGGGTTCAGCGAGACTCAAGAGCTGATTAGTGCTTCTGCGAGACTTAGACCGCTGTGCAGGATCTTCTTGCCAGCATGTGAATGCTGGAAGCCTGCTCGTTGGCGCAAGTCGCAGGTTTGAGCTTCCAGGATTGTCGCAACTGCAAACTCAAGACCTTGTGCTGGCAAGCGGCATGTCAGGAGTGTCGCTGTACACCTGGAGCTCGATTCGTCTCCCCAGTCAGTCAGAAACGGACTAGCAAACGCATGCATGGCGCAGCTGCAAGTAGCAACAATCTCGTCCCGATCGTCATCATCATCACTACCTTGACCATCATCGCCACCATCATAACCATCATAACAGCTTCATGGTTACAGCAGGTATTAGTACTGCCACACCGGAGCTCAAGCCGGTCCAGGAAAACTCAAATACTTGATGCCATGTGTGCGTACGTAAAAGACTATATATAAATATTGTAAAGACATGTGTACACACACATATATATATATATATATATACATACATACATCTGTATGTACGTGTATGGGTGGTAGTATATGCAGCTACGAGGTACGTACGAAAATTTACTATTAGATACATAGGTATATAGACAATATAAATCCATGTATACATATATACACATATATTTATTCATTTATTTACTTGCTTGTTCCAAATGTGCTCAAGTAGACGGCTCTATACATAACACACACACACACACACACGTACATGCAAGGCATGAACATGCCAAAGAGGCAGACAGACAGACAGACAGACAAAGAGGCGGACATGCACATATCTGCAACTAAATCTGCAACTCATGTACCTATGCATGTACATATGCATGCACATATATACATATATTCATGCACACACATACATACATACATACATACATACAGCCTTGCTTACATATTGACATAATACGTGTAAACATATATACGAATATGCTTACATACGTATATATATATATATATATATACATCTGTATACATATATATATATATATATACATATACATACATACACACACCCACCACTGTTCATGCACATACACATCCGTATCTATAATATACATATCTGTACAGAATATATATATATATGTATATATATATATACGCATTCTATACGTACTGTCCCAGCCTGGAGCATGCGGGCCAACCTTGGAAGCAGACAGGCGACAGGCACGTTTGATCTAATCGGCCGTAGGGGCTGGCAAGGACCTCTAAGCATCTACTCCTTGGATTTCCCGCACCTGACATGAAGCAGTTTCCGCTGAGTAGTATTAAGCCTCCAGCAAGTCCACGCAAGCTGCATACTCTTTTGCCGAACTGGGCTTGCTTTGGCAGGCCTCACGGGTACCAAGAGCCATTACAGTCAATGCAAACACTAAGCTGACCAGGGCAGATTCAGGCTTCGTGCTTGGTGCACTCGACGCCTGCAGCTGGCGATCGAGTTCTTCTCGCGTCGGGTTGCGGAAGGAGGTTGTTCCGTCAGCATAGTAGACCTGTGCTGGATGCCATCATCATCATGATGATGGCAGGATCGAGATCTTGGCTTCCATGCTGCCTTTCCCTGTGAACTTATTCATTCGGAGTCCATGTAAGAGGCAGTTTCGGTAGGAGCATTGCAGGGTTGGGTTTAGATGTCGGTTCATTTCTTGGGCAGTCGGGTCTATACCGTGCTGCATTTCGGGGGACCTCCGGTTTGGTATCGCTTCAGAGTTAGGATATGTAAGATTCAATCTTCTTTTTGAGATGGACAAGAAGCAACAACACGGATTAGGACCTCAGAAGAATTACACACTTACAGCTTTCTGCTGCAATCTGGTTCGATTCTTCGACATCCAGCGACAGTGTTGCAGTGTTTTCTTCCAATGGGCCGAACATGGCCATATACATGTTCATCATTCTATCGGCGCAGGCATATTGTGCTTTCTGAATCCCCAAAGTCACTAATGGGGCGTATCAAAACGCTGAAATCCATCTACAGCCACCACTATTGGTAGCAGTTGGACGAAGACATGTCCATGTGTATCGATGCAAACATACCCGAGAAGCCGCAAACTAGCGATGCTGCTTGTTCGACTGCATGTGCGAAGTTTCCGATGGCTAACTGCGGCTAACTCAGGTTTACTGGCGCTCTCGAAAAATTTGACGTCTGGCGCCTCCGTGCGCCCTGATGCAAGCTTCCGGATAAGAGCTCCTCGCGGAGTAATCGTCCGCAGAACCTGCGCGCTGGAGACTCTTAGTCTCAAGATCTGCGCGAAGACCATGACGGCCACTCAGTTACAACCCACGGAACGTGCATTCATCCTTGCATGACTCTAAACCCTATATACCTTAAACCTCTATACCCTAAACCCTAAGACGCTACACCCTAAGCACTAAACACAAATGGCACGCGGAAGATGCCCTTCAAAGCTCCAGGGACTCACCGGCAACCTGTGCTCTCCTGGCGAACTCCTGGCCTCCATGTCCGCTGCGCAGCCAGGCGAGTACGGGGTAAGGCCGGTCATCTCCTGTCAAGGTAGCCCTGACCTACGTTTCTATGCCATGCCAGGCCTTACTGTAGTATACTAGGGATTATATTGAACACACTTACTATACTACGTATACTATATTTTACTGAGACAATTAGAATATACCAGAGTGCGGTATCATATGACATCCTCCGCAGCTTTCAGCACCTATGCTCCACTACAGCACCTATGCTCCACTACTCAGTCAAATCCCTTATCTCTGCAAAGGATGGACACGGCTTTATCACCAGCAGGCGCCTGGGAAGAGACAGGCCGCCCCTCGACCTCTGCCAAGCTCTGCTCCATGTTGGATTTACTTTTTTCCGGTCTCCTAATATAGGGGCCTTAATATTTAGAATAGGATTTCGGGGTATATTATACTAATGATGGAAAAGCAACCCCCAAAGCTTGGATGGGATTGCTGAGCTGTCAACCGGACGCAGCATCTGGATGGAGCCATCGCTAAACACCTGAGCACTTTCGCGTGAGGACTGCATGTCCGACAGCGCATGGAATGTGACCTCCTTTCACAATCCGGTCATATACGGTTTAAACTGGAAAGACCCACCTGGACGGTCTGGCCATCTGCCATGGTGTATGTCATGGTGATGCCCATGGAAGGCAGCGGCATCCTCAGGGGCATCCGCTCTCTCTGCCTCTTTTCATCTCTCCATCCCTCTCCCTCTCCCTCCCTGCCCCCTCCCTCCCTCGTAAAGCGTGTCAGCGCCCCCGGCCACCAAGCCCACCCGCATCTCTGTTTCTTTTTTGCTTGCTTGCTTGCTTGCACAGCGTGTGGGTCAAGGGCTGAGAACCCTCGAACCCTGCGCGTCAGCCCTACGCTGAGTGTCCACGTCTGGTCTGTTGGTGAGCTCTTTCACTCTCTCCCGCTCTCTCCCAGGTATGGGTCTTGCGAATGGCTTGGTCCTGTGCAATTCTTCTGCAAGAAATATTTGCTTTCTTGTACGGCGATCGACTACATGTACACAAAGCGCAGGCACCCGGTCAGTCGTCGGGCCGATCCAAACGGCTATGTTTCCGACTGAGCACAGCACCCATCCCGTGCTGCTTCGTCCAGGAGTCCTGCGTTGCACAGGACGGATGCGCACTCTTTCTCAGCCTGGACAAATGCCCATTATTCGCGGAATCCTCATTAACGTCAACATCATCATCAGCATCAGCGGCCGCCTTCGTCGTGTCCATCATCATCGTCACAAACGTCATCATAGATATTTTCCAATGTTATCGGCATTAATTATCGTTCCTCTTCCCGTTATCACCACCCTCGTCGTACTAGTGCTGGGCATTCGGCTCAAAACGTGATACCAAATCATGGCACTCGAACAAACACCACTTGTACAAGAACCATGCCGGTGACTACGTACAACACAGGCAAGAATAGAACTGCTAGAAAGCTTTGTCGACAAGAGTAAACAGCGACAACAGCGAGGGGGAAAGGCTTGTACGAGTCCTAGGAAAACAAGACCGCCCACTGAATATTAGACCTCCTCCATAGAATCTGTGTGCAAACAGGATGAGCTCAATCTGAAGCAAAACCAGGAATGCCGACTGCTATGGAGCGAGTGAAGACAGTGCAGCCATTTGCCAGAACTCAGAGTCGTGTAAAACGGTAACTCTTTCCATGCCAGCTACCACTGCTCGTCCTCGTTTTCTGGCACTCTCATGGTGTGGCCGAGCCGTGACGCGTGAACTCGACGGAAGCACCAGCCAGAAGGCACCTCTCCCCCAGTCGGTGTCGCAAAGAACCCCTTGATTGTAACCACTAGCAGTTCAGTTCCTCCTGCTCTCTTTGAACCGTGCCCGTGGAAGGCAAAGACTGAGGGCTGCCAAGTCCAAGACCCAGCTGCGAATCAGCGAAGGGGAGGAGCGGACCTGTTCGAGCATGGCACATGCCTTTCAGGCAATGGCATACAGACTCGGCGAGCAAGAGTACTGCGTACGGTCTCCTCATCCGATGTGCGAAGCAGAACACTACCGGCCAATCAAGATGCTGTAAAAAGACATTACGTCGTTCTGCTATGCAAGCTCAGGCCGTCAAGCGAGGAAAGCTTGGAGGCAGACTCTGTCTTGCTCTTGATGCCCGCTACGTACGACGAACTTCAACCCACAAGTCAAGTCAGTCGAACCACATCCTATGCGAGCCATCAGGCTGCGCCACCGATACTCCTAAGCATTACTTAGCAACTGCTCATGCTCGCTGAGAGCTGCAGCAGGTGATGTGGCCTTCCGCTGCTTCCTCTTCTGCTGGCCTCGGCTCGAAAAACTGTATGTCCGTATGCTTATACGCTGCTGTACATATACATATACATATTCCTACATACATATGCGAATAGACAGATACACATGTGTATGCACACACACACAAGTTCGGACAATGCATGTACATAGCTTGAACACACAAGTGAATCGTGAGTTCATAGATGAGCAGGCACCAGTACAAGTGTTGGAACGGCAGCTGACCAGTACCTTCGACATATCGGATCATGGCACCTACCCGTTCCTCAAGGACGAGCACTCCACATTCATCTCAGCCCTTGACGGTTCCTCTTGCGCTGCCGCTGCAGCTGCTTTTTCCTCACGGTAGACTACGATGGCTGATTCCTCGTGGAGGATCTATTCGGTAGATCGATAGCGCTTCCTGTGGTCTTATGTATCATTACGCAGCACAGCAGCCCAGCATGACCGTGTTGAGCGGCCTCCACAGCTGCCTGCTGAAAGCCGAGCTGCCACTGCCTCCCAGCGAAGCTGCACACTTCCACAAGGCCAGACCCCACTAGAGCCTATAGAGATTCCGACGAATTTGAGCTCTTATCTTTCTGTTCGAGACAAACTGCCTCAGACTCTCAGATGGCGAAGCTTGTGCCAGGACCGTGGGGTGCAGCCTCCAAGTCTCGTCTGCAACCATGCCAAACCTGGCCATGAGCTCATGCGTGATCCGGACGTTAACAAGCCTTCCAGTTCATTCGTAATCTTTCGTGTTGCTGTCCCCGCCCTAATCTGGGAAGGAAGTCTCGCATAATTGGAAGCAGAGCAGAATTCTTCTTGAAGGCGGCTGGAGCTTCTGTGACATCAGTGTGTCTCCTGATCATGCTTGCCACATGCTTCCAGATCCTGGCATTGATCTTGCGCTGAAGGCGCTAGTACTTTATAAGGCTCAATTTACGGTGGACAGCTCATGCATGTGCTTAGTTCTGTTTCAATGCGGTATGTCTATAATCCTTTGAGAATATATATATATATATATATATATATATATATATATACACACATACATATATATATATATATATATATATATATAAATATATATTAGAGCCTTTCCCTTCGGCTAACAAGAACAATACATAAGATGCCTGATTCTGTGAATTCCTCGCAACAGATCCCCAAGCCATTACCCACATTGCTTGGCCGACTTGGTTCTCATGTGTGCAGCTATCGGGAGAGTAGCTTTCGGATACCGCCTGCGTGTCAAACAATTCTAATCTTGAGCTCGCTACGACGAAGACGCCTAAAGCAAACGCAACTTGCAACAAGACCCATGTAAGGCTCCGGCACGAGGTTGTCCTTGAAGATGCGGGCCATACTCCTGCACAAACAAACCACTCAGGGTTTCGAGAAAAGAGAAACTAAAACAGTTCTTCAACATGAAGCCGTCCCCGACATGGGCCGGAACACACACGCGAAGAGTAAATGCAGCAACATCTAGTAGCAGTAGCAGCAGTAGCAGTAGCAGTAGCAGTAGCAGTAGCAGTAGCAGTAGCAGTAGCAGTAGCAGTAGCAGTAGCAGTAGTAGTAGTAGTAGTAGTAGTAGTAGTAGTAGTAGTAGTAGTAGTAGTAGTAGTAGTAGTGGTAGTAGTAGTAGTAGTAGTAGTAGTGGTGGTAGTAGTAGTAGTAGTAGTCGTGGTAGTAGTAGTAGTAGTAGTAGTAGTAGTAGTAGTAGTAGGAGTAGTAGTAGGAGTAGTAGTAGTAGTAGCAGTAGTAGTAGTAGTAGTAGTGGTAGTAGTAGTAATAGTAGAAGTACTCATCCTTTAGAAGTACTAGCAGCCTGCCGGACACCAGGCGGACTCCGTCGCGAGAGAGAGAGAGAGAGAGAGAGAGAGCGCAACAGCAGACATAACTACAAGAGTGGTTGTGCTTGTGGAGGTCATGCAGCAGCCAATGCAATCAGGAAAAGACCAGCAGCACATGCGTCAGCTGTGTCCTGGACTTCGTCGCCTCCGCAGGGAACCTGTCTGTCAAAGGCCCTGTCCCCAACTCGGGGAAGCTCCGCCTGCATGCGCAAGAGGTCTGCCTTCGGGAACTTATGTGGGGGAAATGCCCGTGCATTGCCCCCATACACTTCTTGTGGTTGCATTTGGCAACCTCTGCATCAAGACAATTTCGCCTGGAGCTTTTCGAGGCTTCTGTGGCACACTGGATCACTCGAAAGCGGAAGTGAGGCTTCGATTTGCGGCGACTACGTGCGAGCAAAAAGCGAAATATGATGACGTTAGTGGAAACATCAATAATCGAGTAGGACCATCACAACAGTGATGATGGTGACGATGATGGCGCTGACTTGAGGAGCAGTGCGGCAAATGAACGCTCAAAGCAACGACTCACACAAACACCTTCTGGGCACGCACAAGACATGGCAGGAACTTGTCTGTTTGATGCCTGATCCCCGACTCCATCCGTGAGACCAGGATGAGAGACCCGTCCGGAGGACACGCTAGTTTTTCTACCTCGGTTGCGCGGGTGGTGTGGCACAGCCTTGCGGCAAGAGTCAGACGCTGTCAAGAAGCTGCACGAACTCACGGACATGGATTCTGGCAGCTGCATCAAAGCGAAACGGCTCCTCTGGGCTCCGGGCAATGGCATTGTAGCCAACCTCTCGCGCATCCATGTTTTCAATCACCTGGAGCTTCTTTGGCCTCAGGCACACCAGAATCGATACAAAGAGGTGTCTTGAACATGGCTTGGGTGCTGCCCCCCATACAGGAAGGGTCTATAAGGCTACGAGTAAGGGCCGTACATATCTATAGTATAAACAATACTCAACTTCTACTGAGTGGATCTCGGAATCCGCGGTGTTCTGTCAACAACCTTGGACACCTCAAAGGCGAAACCAAGGCTGCGACGTCGAGGAGGCGACCAAACCAGACCCGTGGACCTGCAAATGCTGAGTAGCTTGTCGAAGACTATTCATGAACATGATGGACTAGGTGATGTTGAATGCATTGACCCCAATAGTAGCTATGTACTTTTGTGTTCACGCAGGGTCCTTCTGATTCGATATCGTCCCAGATTGCGATATGTCAACCAATTGTGTTACACAAAGTAACAAAAACAGATGCGAATGCAAGAGCCTGCGACCAGTCGTTGTAGGTCGGATGCGTTACCAGCACAGAAGACCTCAAAAGGACAATGCTTCTTGGCAGCGCGAGACACGTCCATTGCATCTATGTAATCACCAGGGGTTCATGGTCTTGAGGGCAGGTGTTCGACCTCGCCGGCTCATTGAACTGCATAGACTGCATTGAGTCCCCCAATTGTTGTGGGTTCGCCTCTCCTTCCGTTGATGCAAGGCCATGAAGATCAAGGTCGATAGCCAAGGGTCTAACTAGGTTGCGCCTTCATTGTATGGCCTCTACATCCCAGCACCCGTCATGTTTTCACTGAGGCTGACACTGCCATTTGGCGTCCTGCAGTGCAGGCTTCTGGAAGCCAGAAGTTGGAGGACGAATGAGATCTTGGGTTTAGCACTCCTCGTGTAGAAAAGCATCCGATTGGCGCGCGCAAATTGTTTCACCTTGAATGCCTTTCTGAGCAATCGATCCTGTGTCAAACTCCACGCCACAACACAAAGTAGGACTGCTGGGGCCAAAGCTGCAAGCTTCTTCCAGGTCGGCACGGTTTAACAAAGCCTCTACAACTTTTTTCTCCGAACATGCGGCATATGAAGCCGGCTTTAAGCCGCCGTTGTTTGGATGCGCCGTTTCTGAATAGTTAAGTGCGAGAAGGAATTGCGTGAGTTCTGGGACTCGTGGCAAGACGCAAATCGATAATGTTTTGGACATGTTTTGAAATGGGCCGGAGACTCTTCGTATACTGCGTCCTCCGCTGCAATTCAGGGTCAGTAGATTGCTCCTCAAAACTGAAGAACAAGACCTGGCGACTACGGCGCCACAATACAAGATCAGAAGCTGCCCCAATGATGTCCTGTGGGTTGGCAAGGAGGTCCCCTTGCCAGGCATGCCAAAGTACACGTCCAGGAGCCGCCCTGGCCCAAACGGTTTCAGACAGGATTCAGGGGACAAGTCTGTTGAAACATCCCCCGGGGGCCGTGATCATAAGCTGCCGTACATACCTGTAAGACCTTGCTCCTACGCCAGACATGCTTGGAAGGCTTGGACAAACCGTGAGACGGGTTGCCCACATCCCTCTAGAAGCCCTTTGCCGCCTATGGTGCAGCGCCAGGAGCAGTGCATCATGCCGCGGTAGATATGCGGCATCTGCGAAGGGCTCAGAGCGCAGAGCGGCCTGAACGAGGTGCTATCTCAGAACCCTACTAAGACGCATTGAGACTGCACAAACTCTAGCTTTAAAGCATTCCCTCCAGCAGAAATCCTAAGGTCACCGGGAATCTCGACAAGCCTCCAGGGTTTGACCCAGTAGGCTTGAAGGGATCTGCTCCCGCCAGATCCTGTCGGCGCAGCACCTTGAGGAAGATGCGCGGTCTGGGGGCTTTGGGGTCGATCCGGTGAAAACGAGCATTGGAGGTTGCTACAATGCATTAAGTTTGCGGGTAAAGTTCACGCACACGGAACATGAAGTTCTGTGTCGGTAAACAACATAGTATAGCATAGTAGGTAGCAGAAAATAAAATAGTATCAACGATACGATATAAAATACAAGACACAATATCAAACATGTAGTAACATAATATAGTAAAAGAATTTCAAAGTTACACTACTACAT